TGACAGGTGGTTCTAACGAGGAGTGTTACTATTTATTAACACATTAAGTACGTATTTGTTTAAAAAAAAATGCTTAAATAGTTAATAGTCAGAGCGTCGAATCCCGACCCGAACCGGGGGTTAACTTCACCCCCAACGCCCAGTTCGATCTTTTCCACCGACACGAAACAATACTCTACTCCAACAGACTCGGCCAATTTGAAAAAAAAAGAGGAGTGAAATTGGTGTTTTCTGTGATTTTGGTTGCCCTGTCAAAGTGATCTGCGTTCTATTTTTTGACCATGTAGAAATTTCCCCTACTTCCCTGGAATAATCCGTAGGTAATATAAACCACATATTTACTAGTTATTTAAATTTTATCTTCTTCATTTTTCTTACCATGTTTGTTGTTGTTGTTGTTGTTGTTCTTTTACAAAAGAAAGTTGTAGACTATAATAGTGCATAACTTTCATAGGTGACGGAGCCTCGTCATCGGGACTCCCCACTTATAGACCTGAAGTGTTCATTTTAATCCATGTCCTATTTAATAAACTATTTACATCTAATGAACTGAATGTTGCATAGCTTAAAAACAATTATATAAAAAAAGCTAATGTATTTAATGTTCTTTTTTCGACTTTTGCCAAAGTTCCATATAAGAAACACAATCTATTTAAATTTTCTTCTCGATTTTAACATGATGATCCATCAGTTATCAACTTTTTGTACACCAATAGGTTTAGGATATAATGACTTTTAAGAAAATCATTCCTTTAGATAATGATCGAGAGGAACGAACGATACTCTCCAACATAAAAACGGTATTCATAGCATAAATATATTATTTATCTTGACATTTCATAACCCATTCGTGTTTGAATTGAGATTGTCGAATAATTACATCGTATTAAAGGCAAGGGTTTTTTTCTCAACGATTCTAATTATTTGATATTGCTGGATAAAAAGTTCATATCCTTGCTTTTTTATATATTTAGTATTTTTTATATATTTAGTATTTAGTTAGTTTTTATGAAAGTGGTTTTAATCGGTTCATTCTTACAGCCTGTAAATTAATCATTGGTAGAAGAATTGCCCATGAATATCTACGTCAGAAAATCATACAGACATGTCAAAATATTTTGATCAAAGCTTGGCGTGATAGAGACTTAGTAACCGCTTCGAAGCTTTCGGAAAAAAACTGTGTTTGTTATAACTAAAAGCATAAATAATTAAAGACCCTAATAAATCACATCCACACAGCCCAAGAGTACTCGATATTCCTCGGAGTTATAGGTGATAAACTACTCCATTCACGCTAATAAATTATATTCGCACTGCCCTAGAGTACACGATATTTCCTGGAGTTATTGAGGGAGAAGCCCCTCCATTCTCGCTAATAAATTACATCCACACTGCCCCAGACTACTTGATTTTCCCCGGATTTAATGAGAAGAAAGCCCTCCACTCACGCTAATAAATTTCATTTATACTATTTTGATCAAAGCTTGGTATGATAGAGACACACTAACCGCCTCGAAGCTTTCAGAAAAGACTGTGTTTATTATAACTAAAATTATAAATAATTAAAGACGCTAATAAATCACATCCACACAGCATAAGAGTACTCGATATTCCTGGGAGTTATAGGTGGATATGCTCCTCGTGATTCACATTCCTCCCGAGTACTCGATTTTCCCCGGAGTTAATGGGGAAGAAATCCCTCCACTCTCGCTAATAAATCACATCCACACACANTTATATTCACACTGTCCTAGAGTATTCGATATTCCTCGGAGTTATTGGAGAAGCATCCCCTCCATTCACGCTAATAAATTATATTCACACTGTCCTAGAGTATTCGATATTCCTCGGAGTTATTGGAGAAGCATCCCCTCCATTCACGCTAATAAATTATATTCACACTGCCCTAGATTACTCTTTATATCATAGGGACATTATGTAAAACATATTTTGCACGAAGTTTGGCATGACAGAGACTGTATGTATAAAAGCACAATTAAAGATATTTTTATAACATGCTGCAATAATTTTGTCTCGAGGTTTGGGAACATAGTATTTACAGATATTGGAAACCGCGCCCACTTGGCAAACCTCGACCCCAGGTCCAAAGACCTCTCGACGTCCCTAGTTTCATGAGCCCCCCCCCCCCAAACGTACAGAACTCACGTAGATTTACGTTTCAGAGATTGTATTTTTTAAATATTTCTGCTAGGTTTTTTTTCTAGTAGTGTAAAGCTGTAATTGAAAATTTCTTTCGGTCGTTATTTTTCCTTCATAATTCCTTCTCCTGCTAAAAAGGAAGAAGTTTAGCCGTTCAACGCGATAAAGGTTCATCATATTTTCCGAGATGTACTACGATTCATAGGCACTTATAGATGCGATATTTTTATTAGAAAATATTTGTTAACAGCCGTCATATTTGGCTAGGGGTTTAACCAGCCTTAAGCAGCGGTGACACCAATCGTTTAATCGTGATAGATAATTAATAATTAACGTCGTATTGTCATACACAAATATTTATGTTGTGTGCACTTTCTTTTATTATTTTCTGTCTATGTAATACAGCTAGTTTCTAAGGGGATTCATAAATAAATTGAACATAACAGAAGATGATGTAATATGTAAGGTAATATTTCAAGGCGGCTTTTCAACTTTATATCAAGTTTGTAATTTATTTTAATGTTTCTCCAGCCAAGTTAGGATATAAAGGTCTCTCTTTTATCCTATTGCTAGCCTCTCTGTACCGCAGGGCCTCATCAATTATGGATAAAACAACAAAAATAACGAATACGTTCACAGAAGACAGAAAATCAAGATAGCCTGGTTAGCATTCACTCTACCCCATAGCAGTCGATATTCCTGGCTTATCCTCTCCATTCTCGCTAATAAATTACATTCACACTGACCCAGAGTACACTCGATAAACCTCGGAGTTATTGGAGAAGCAACCCCTCCATTCACGCTAATAAATTACATTCACACTACCTCAGAGTATTCCATTTTTATCTGAGTTATTTGGGAAGAAACCCCTCCATTCATGTTAATAAATTACATTTGCATTGCCCCAGAGTTTTTTCTCAAGGTTAGTGGGAATAAACTCCTTATTATTCTGGCTAATAAATAACATTCACACTGCCCCAGAGTAATCGATTGTCCTCTAGGTAATGATTGGGAATAAACTCCTCCATTCACGCTAATAAATTACATTCACTCTGCCCCAGAGTACTTGATTTTCCTCTAAGTAATAATTGGGAATAAATTCCTCCATTCACGCTAATAAATTACATTCACACTGCCCTGGAGTATACTCGATAATCCTCAGAGTTAATGGGGAAGAAAGCCCTCCATTCATGCTAGTAAATTACATTCACCCTGGCTCAGAGTACGAGATGTTCTCCTGGATAATGTGAAGTGATTCAAGAATGTATTTAATTATTATTAAGATGTGTTTAACTGAAGGAATAAAACATATTTATTTATTCGTATAGCATACATAATTAGTGATGGCTTACGTAAAGAAACATGTGAAAAATGAGGTTGTATAGTTATTTTCCCTGACACAACAAGGAAACGATGGCCAGCACCCAAGCTGAAACAACCGAAGATGGCACTTGATGTGTAAGACTAATGGGCAGTTTTGTGGTTTCGAGGAAGCAAGAGTAATTTGAATGTTGAAAGGAATGTTGAGATGATTGTAGACGGTGTGATTAGTGATGTACTAACACGCTTTGACCACTTGTCTGAGGACTTTTGATTAGAAGGATTGGATGTGGTGGATATTGAACAGCTTGATGGAATCGCACATTTCCACTCCATATGTCTAAAGTAGTCACAGTAATGTCTTGTGTCAAGTTAGTTGAATTTTGGAGGTCAAAACAGATTAAGAATTCTTCTTAGTTTTCCTCCTTGTCTCTTAAGTCTTGTTTGGCGATTCCACATCAATCTGATGTCTATAGCCCTATGTACCTGACTTGATTGTAAAGTTCCTTGTTATTGATGTACAGTGGAGGGCAAAACTGTTTCTTCAGTGTACATGTACACTGTGTGGATTTTCCTCATTCTCTTTTGTGTACCACTTTAGGTGCTTAGGTATGATTCAGGTTAGAGGAATTGGTGACATCCGAATTTGTGGTAATGATGGTATTGCATTGTATAAGAAATTTAGCAGTATAACTGACCAAAGGATAGGACCAAAAATGTTCCCTTGTGGGTATTGGTCTGTTATTTGTAGCGGTCAGTTAAATCGGATTCCAGGATAAGGTAGACATTATTAAAAGTCTGGGCCATATCCAGAAACTGGAGGAAGTGGTGTCAAAAACTCTAGTACCTAATTAAATTTTGAGTTGATATCTTTATTTCCTTGTTGTTGGCATACATTCTAGAATATATATAACCATATATATAATGGAGCTGGGAGAGACATTTTTTTATCATCTGCGTAGTTTGGGATTATAGCTTTGTAAGTCAAGTGCAGGATTGGGCTGAGAATACACCCTTGTATCGCCAGCTTGGTTCAATGTATTCTGAGTTCATTCCTCTACTCACCTTACTCAGAAGTGACGTGGCCATCAGTTTGATAGAATTTTATACTCTAGGAAAGCACCTAGTGCTCTTTGTTCTTTAAAGCAGTGGAACAGGTGTCAATAAATCTTAAACATTGCTGGATCTTGACGTAATAAGGACCAGAGCTGAATTAGTGAAAAGGAATGTTATTCTAGGATATCTATTAAAATAAATGTTTACAAGACTTTGGACACAACAGGAAGAAGGTTGATAGGTTCGGAGGTTTGTGCCGTTCATGAATGAGAGCGACGATATATTTTCATAAAAAAGGAAAGAGTCATTTGTTGGATTGCATTATAGTTTATTATGGCTTTAAAGGCTTTAAAAAAAAAAAAAAACTTTCATACATAGGTACATAAGAACGTTTAGCATTAGAGATCGTCTTTTCAAAAGTATATAAAGAGCCTGAGAGTAAAAATCTGCACTTCTCTCTGCAGGAATCGAGTTTCCCAGGGAGATGAGACAGCTAACCATGTAATGCCTCGCATAACTGGTGCGATGGTGCTCCACAAGAAAAGTTTGAACCCCTCCCAATGAACGTTGAGGCACTCACAGGCCAAGACTAGAGAGAATCTCCCGGGGGAAGAGATCTGAGAATTGAGAACTTTCTATATAAGGTAAGAAAGGCAGCACGCCTTCTGTCTGACAAGGACCCCAGTACAAAGAAGCCTATCCTAGGGGAGGCACTTAGAAGCAAATTTAAAAGACAAGTGTCTAGTAGCCCTATGCTGGACAGATTCAACCAGATTAATCTCACTTTTAAGAAATGGACCCCAGACAATACTAGCATACTCAAGATGACTGCAGGCCAATGACTGATATAACATTTTAATAGCAAAGGGATTACCGGTCTGAAGTAAAACGTTTGACAAGACCTAGATTCTTTAAATCCTTACTTCTAATCTTGGAAATATGATCACGAAAATTGCATTTACATTTAAAAATGATGCCTAAAGTCATTTATTTAATCTACTTCATCCAGGGGATATAACCAAGAACCACAATCCTTCGGCTTAGAAGACACATTGAATTTAATGCATTTGCATTTTAATTGATTGATTCACAAATCATTAGCGCAGCACCAAGGAAAGAAAGACTTTAAATCTAATTGAAGTAGTTCACAATTCACAATGGAAGAAATACTGGAAAATAACTGTAGGTCATCGGCTAAACTAGAGTACGAAGAAAAGTGAAAAATTGATGAATAATTTACAAGCAATAAAAGTATTGGCCCAAGGTGAGAGCCCTGACAGACCCTGGATAGAATTTGAGATGAAAATGAGATGGAACCATTATACACAACCCTGTAGGATCTTCCAGCCAGGAAAGAAGAGGGTCATACAGGTCCTTCCTGAGGAGAATCCGAAAGTTAATCGTGTCTAAGCCTTGGACCTGTCAGAGTAAATAGCATGAACTCTTTAGCCCAATTCGAGGTTTTTATTAATAAAATCATTGTAAAGAAGGCAGTTGGTTGAATTAGAGCACCCTTGACAAAACCGTGTTGGTCAAGAATGATGATATGTTTAAAAGTATCATTTAAAAGTTCAGCAACAAAATAGTCATAAATCTTAAGGATAATCACATTTAGCAATCAGGCAGTAATTAAATATATCACTTATATTTCCTTTTTTCAATTCATGGGGAAGTACACCTTCATTGATATAGCATTCGAATAGAATATATAATGGTAGTCAAAGAGAAGCAGAACAATTCTTAAGAAAGGTTTCAGCAAAGCAATCAGGACCCATAAGGTGTAATAATAAAGGTCATGCCCATGATTTTCCTGGGAATTTGCGAATATAGTAGTTGACTTAAGATGAAGTGAAAGGTTTTATAGGAAGATGAGAAAGAAAAGTGGGTGCTAAATAGGATGGTCTTTGTCGCCCTGACCCAGGATCCAAACGTGCTCTCTATTTGACTCCTGGAGCATTATTCAATGTTGCAATTTTGTTCTACGTGTTTTTATTTTCATTTCATATTTCAATTTCAATTTTCTGTGAAATCTAAAAAAGAAAAAGCAGAAATGGCATTTTCTGCATGGTGTTTTATTTTCTTTTGTTGTGTGTGTTTGTTTTGAAATTTTCTAATTATTCTTTATTTCTTCTTTGATTTGTTTTAGGTGAATCCGAACTTATGGGATGTTGTGTGGGGAGCTAGGGGGACGTATTCACCCTCACTTGGATATTACCAGTACAAGAAATCCATATTCAACTCTTCTTTCGCTCTACACAATGGCTGCTATCACAGCAGAAGATGATATTTATCTAGGTATGTTTATAATATTTAAAATAACTAATCTTTTTATGGAAGGTTTTTGGTTGAAATGAAAAAGTTAGTGCCACGAGCGGGATTCGAACCCACGACCTTCGGCTAAATACACCAGCTCTACCACTTGAGCTATCGTGACTTCGATCCACTCAGACACCAACTCCCCATCTCAACCTTTCGAATTTTCCCTCCTTTTTGCTATTTTTCAAAACCTTACATAAAAAGATTAATTAATTGAAAGAAGTAATTTGGTCAATAGACCACTAAATATAATGGATTTAAAATAACATTGGATTAATTGATTAAATTTTCATGTCATAATCATCACTTTTTATTAGCATGAAGTCAGTAGATGAGCTTATTAATAAAAACAAAGAAAAAAATGTCACTAGTCAAATAGTCACAGAATTGAACATAAAATCTGACTTTTATGCGTGATGTAGGCACATTTAATATAGTTTCAATTTTTTTTTCCAGAAAATGGTCTATTAAGCTATGAAAATCCAAACTACCATTTACCCACTTTGGATGATGCATTAAATTCGAACACAGAAGTATCTTCATACCGCGAGCTTCTTTATTCTGAACTCGAGACGATGTGCAGACCATCCGCTACTACAAATGGGAGAAAAGCGTATGCCACGTTAGACATCGGTTCGATGGGCGTCGATCTCAATACAGGCCCAGTTACAAACCTGGATACTGATAACAGTCAGCACAGGTATATAAACTCATATTTATAATTTTTTTTTCTTCTTCTTTTAAATAACAGCTTGTGGAAAAGCTTGAAAAATCAAAAATGTGAATCCCGACCAATTATAATTATTTTCTGATTGAAGATTAATATGTAAAAAATGAAATGTACGTTCAGTGATGATGATGGTTGGTACTACTAAGTGGGTTTTTTTTTTTGTGGCTTGGCATTACAGCTTGAAAAGCTCTTCAAAAATCTGAATCCAGTCAGATTGCCAGACTAATTATAATTATTTTCTGTTTGAAGATTAATGTGTAAAAAATAAAGTGTATGTTCAGTGATAGTGATTGGTACTATGAAGTGGGGTTTTTGTTTCCCTGAGCTCTATAGCCTTCTGGCTCATTGTACTTTCCTAGTTCCTTAGCTTAGTGCAATCGAGTCGTTCCTTCTTCCAAGAAGTACTACATTATTGACTGTTGTTGTTATCAAACCTTTCCCTTGGTTTTCTTTGTATCTCTTGTTATGTCTCCCTTGAGCAATTCAAAGATGTCCTGGCTGTTTCTTCCTCCTAATTGCATAACCTACAAATGGGGGTCATAAATAAATATGGCCATGTTATGTACATATTTTTCAGATGCCAGTGATCAATAGTCCTATCACTTCACTCAGTTTAGCTCTCTCTGACTAGCAGTGAGTTTACTTGATGAGGGTTGTTTTAGCATAAACTGGCAGTGTCTAATACCTTTATACCTTCTCTTTTGGCCTTTTTTTTATCCATTCTAGCTTTGGAGATTTTGGATGCATTCACTGACTTATTTTGGTGTGATTTTTTACATGCTAATACTGTAATAGTTGCTTGGCTGTCCGACCTTATGAATTGTTTGGCCATTCAACCTCTTTTAAGATTTTCTAAGGCACAAGTGATGATGGCATGTACATCAGAAAGACAAGGGTGTCTTCCTTAATGAGTTTGAACGTTCATGATTTAAGCTTGTACAAAAAACATCTGATCCTTCATTTTTTGGGAGCCATCTGTATACCATATCATTGTATCTGATGTCCTCCTGATTTCTTCTTCTCCTTTGTTGTCTAGGTTGTAAAGAGTGTTTTCGAGATCATGTAGACAGTACCCATTTCTAAGAATGAGTGTATGATGTTATTGATTATTGTTGTGTGCCCAAAGTGTTTAGTTCCCATCCAGTTTGATTGTTTCTTAAGACTAAATTAGCTTTTCTTCACTTCTCCCTGTATAAATATTTCTAATGGAGGCAGATTTAACAATGTTTTTAGAGCAATTGATGATATCTTCATTGCCCCTTTGCTACATAGGTTGCAAGTCTTTGTATGCTGCCTAATGTTTGGATAGCTTGTTGTTTCTTAGCTTCGGTTCACCAGATTAACGAACCATAGGATAATTTGGGTGTTATTTCTGCCATGTGGGCCATTTTCAGTTTTAATCCCTAAGATGTTGAGTGTTACTTGCTTGTGGTAGCCTGTACAATCATTTTAGAAGTATTACATTTTGCTGCATGGCACTGATATACAAATTTAAAGAAATTCTTTTGGTGAAGAATTTTTCAAGTTCTTATTTTCCAATAGCCAAATATGAACTAAGATAAGATATATTTTGTGATGAAACTTTGGGATTTAACTTGTTTATACAACAAGAATTCAAGAAGTTAGTTATCTATACTTGAAGAGAACCAATATCAGCTGTCAGGGTTGTGTGCTGTTATAAATTGTCTCTTCATTTACTATTTTATAATATTTTCACATTTGCAACATAAGCGTACAAAACCGTAGTACAGAAGAATCCTACTAATCCAAACACGGCTAAACCAAATGCTCATCTAATTCTAATACGTATTAAATGGAACAGAGGATATTTTTTATTGTGCAAAATATATACTTTTGTGTTTTCTGGTTAAATTGAAAGATATTAATGGACAGTTATTGCGACTTTGCTTACTCCAAACTGTATTGTCATATGTTGAACCCTTAAATTGTGAGGCCTGCGAGATTTTGATCCTAGCTGGTCATTTTAAAACATTTTGGCCTGTCAACATTTTCAGTGTTGGCTTTTACCCAAAATAATTATAAAAATTAAAGATTACAACAGCTGAAACTGACAAACTGAAATAGCAAGGATAAGTTCCTCCTTGTATATATTTTCATAGGTTTGCCACTCTTTTTATGTTTGGGCCTGTTGCTTGTTTTTCCTGAGCTTTGCTCCACCAGTGAACCACAGATTACTTTGTATATGGTCAGTGGGCCATTTTTGGTTAGTCTCCATGATTTGCCTAGAGTTCTTCTTGTAATCATTAGTGGTATTTTATGTTATGTGCAGATTCCAGGTTAAATTCTCATCAGAGATTATCTCCAAGTATTTACCTCATTTTTTTTAACTGCAGCATTTCATTATAGAAGCACAGGCCTTGTATTTCTGTTTCTTTTCTTCATGAATGCAATTAGTGCAGTTTTTGAGTGGTTTGTTTTAATTCCTTGTTTTCCAAATTTAAAAAAAAATTCTTCATTAAAGTATGGTGAAATTATTTGCATTGTATTAAAAGGATTGAAGTTGTTGAATTAAGTTGCAGAATTTTTTATTTTTTTAGAAATAGTTGTCCAGTAATTCTTGACAACACTTTGGTTGGAAATGTCAACCGTGGAAATGTTAGAGCATTAGATTTAACATCCACTCTCCGAACGACAAAACCTGATTTAATTGATCACAGCACTATCACAACTGATAGGTAAACTATTTACAAAATAAAACACTATTAAAGTTGTAGCATTTATTTTTTTCCCCTCCATTCTATTTTAGAGAGTTTGAAAAAGACAGCTCGGAATCACTAGAGAAAAATGAATTCGATTCTCCTACAGATAGGTCGCCGGAGTCTTCTCTGAGTTTTACTACAGTTGCTAATGATTTGCCGCCTGGTTGGGAAAGGCACCAAGGTATTTTGCTAATTTAAATAATGTACAATAATTTACCTGTGAATACTGACTGGAATATTTTTAATTACATTGGAAATTGGCAGTGATTGTTAGTCCACGAGTCGAACACATGTTGAACCAATCGACACTTGATCATATTAGTCAGTCTACTTTTGCCGGTTTACATTTTACCCATGTCATCCTCAGTGAGAAATGTCTGTTTAATTTCTAAGAGGACTTATATTATAAAACTTATTACTACCACTAAAAACAAAATGTTGAAACAGTTCCTCACTGATGAAGATGGTTTGAGTGTGTAACTAGCGAGAGTGACATGCCAAGTGGTCAAATGTTGAAACAAGAAACTATTATTCTATTTCTATTTATTGTAAGATACATAATTGTTTTATTAAATCATTTATGTTCATTGCACTGTTTATATTTTTGAAAATGGATTTCCTGTGTAAGCCTCGATTACTGATAACTGCCCCTTAAATTTGAAGGAACATTGTTGTACTTATAAATATTCGTGTGTACTCGGAAATATTATATAAATAATCAAGTTCCAATAATAATTAGATAATGATGGTCCTTACTACTGGCACATTAAAAGTGGAACGATTCAGCGGAATGCCCCTGAAATAGTCGGCGGGAACAATGAACCACGAACACCATTAGTGAAAGATGCAGAAACGGTGAGTAAAGGCTATTGTAATGATTACTTAACTTGCATTCTTGCAATTCAACTTTTGTCGAAGATGAACGGATATCTGTCATGAAAACCTTCGATTTAAGAGAGTTCAATTAATTTTTTAGTTGATCAAGTCAAACTTTTGTTGTTCAAGTCATAAAGTTAGTCATTCCTTCCAAGCTGAAACATGTGAACATGTCAGAGTACTGTTTACTGTTCAACTTGTTGTGATGTTTTGTTTTTGTTTATAAAATAATTAAAAACAAAAATTAGCCTCAAGTGGACTTAGAATGATGCTAAAATTATTAGAATTTTATCATAACCAATACACCTTTCAGATCACTAACTTACGGCTTCCCATGAAATTAATTATTTTTAATTTACTCTTTTTAATTTTTAATTAACCCTTTTTAATACTTCAAGTTAACAAGTTTTAAACTTCAAATTAACCCTTTTTTTACTTTAAATTCACTTTTGTAATTTAAAATTGACTGGTTTTTAACATCAAATTAACTCATTTTAATTTCAGATTGACCGTTTTTAACTTCAAATAACCATTTTTAATTTCAAATTAACCCTTTCTTTAAAAGAAAAAACCGCTGAATGAAACGCAAATATTTAAAGCAAAATTTGTGCGTTTGAAAAAAAAGTAAAATAGCTGGGTTCTTAGGAGACCATATAACATTTTATTACAATTATTGAAAATTATTCAAAATTAAATATAAAAATGTTTTAAATATAAAATAATTAGGATCTTAAAAATAATAAATAAATAATAAATCTTAATTGCAATTTAAATTAAATTCTTTAAAAAAATAAAGGATTCTTCTTTTAATTTGAAATATATTTATGTATTCCAGTTTGGTCAAGAAATTTTTGGACTATTATATAAAAGATGATTCCTTTATTTTAATATTTAATTTACGTAATTGTAATTAATTTTCATATGGACTTTTATATAGGAGCCCTATTCTTCTATTTAAAAAATGAAATTAAAAGAAGGAGGATTTGTTTTTTACTTTTTAAATTTTATATATTGTTAATTTTAATTGTAATTAATTGTTATATAGTTTTTAAGAGCCCATTTATTTTGTATCTTAAAAAAAATCAAATTAAAAGAAAACAAAATTGTTTTTATATTTAATTTTATATAATTTTTAATTTTAATAGTAATTACTTTTCATATGGTCTCTAAGAGCCGATATCGTGAGATGCGGTCGGGTCAAGATATCTGAATAACTATCGATTAACGGTCACTAATCTCTACACAAATTTGTACAAAGTTGAAATTGTGAAGAATGCGCTTCTATAGAAAATTTGGTTTTTAAAAAAAATGTTGTGAATTTTCATGTAATTCATATGTATTTCAGGTTCTTACAAGTTACCATCAAAATGGTGGCCTTGGGACTGTGACACGCAGTAACACGAGCTCAGCATTGGAAGAAATCGATTTGAAAAAGAGGGATGAAAGAAAAGAAGAACTAGCTCTGAAGTAATCCATATTATTTTATATGACATCATGAACATATTAAATTTTAATTATTATATGTATAATAAAGAATGTAAAGTAAAATTAGAAATCAGTCAAATAGTAGAAATCAAATCCAATACTTTTCCCTTTATAAATGTTTACCAATTATTTGTTTCGCCTATTTGGTTCTTTAAAAAAATTATTTAACAGAAGGAGGAGCTTTCCAACTCGCTGTGAGAAGGAGAAAGAAAAGGCGATTAGGTTTGCCGTGCGAAGCCTCGGTTGGGTGGACATATCAGAATTTGACTTGACACCAGAACGATCAAGCAAAGCCGTTAATAGGTGCATCGTTGAATTATCTTTAGGCAAAAATGGCCTAATAGACAATGTTGGACGATGGGGTGATGTAAGTAAACCATAAAATATTCTAAAATAATAGATTTCTATATTTATTCCGGCATCTTACTCGACGTCAAACAGGCTAGAGATTTATTGTTATTTCATCTTCGTGCACATTCTGTGTAAATTGTTACATCTCATAGAGATTGTCCCTCAGTAAAAAATAAATAAAAAACAATCTCTTGTTATGAAAAAAAAAAAACTATAAATAATTTATTTTGCATTTATTATTTTTTTTTTTTTTAGGGGAAAGATTTATTTATGGATTTGGATGAAGGAGCTCTAAAATTAATAGACCCAGAAAATCTTACAGTCTTAAATACACAGCCTATTCATACCATCAGGGTTTGGGGAGTGGGGAGAGATAATGGAAGGTAAATTATCATTTAAATTTTTTTTTTCATATTTCTTCTTATTTAAAAATTTTCTTCTCTAACACTCTCATAAAAAATTTAATATTAATAACATTTTTGTGGTGTTTAGTGAACGTTAGTTGATGATTATTTGGTTTAGTAGGTTTAGAAAAACATTTTCTTTATCGTGCCAACATTTCGATCTTTATTGAGAACTTCTTCTGTGCTGAAAGTGTTTGTTTTCTGTGCAGATGTGTCATGTTGATAGTGCCACTTACGATCTCCAATTAATCATTAATAACATTTTTTTATAGTAGTTATTAAATAATATAGATTTATTCACTTGTATTCTTTATCTAACTTACGTTTTTTCGTTCTTTTGTTTTTACTCGCACAATTGTAGAGAAAGGTAAATGGATAATTTAAAAGAAAAGTGCAAATGATTAAATTTTTTTATGCTATAAAATTGAATTTTCAGAGACTTTGCATACGTAGCAAGAGATCGCATAACACGAAAGCATATGTGCCACGTTTTTCGTTGTGACATGCCAGCTAGAACGATCGCCAATACTTTAAGGGACATTTGCAAGAAAATAATGATCGAGAGAAGCCTTCAACAAAATTTGGCTAAGCCAATTGACATAAGTAAGTTTTTTACATTGAATTTAAAAAATAAATAAATAAATAAATATACGCTGTTGAGACAATTTATTTATATCCTTATATCAACATTGTTATTTTTATTTTTCAGACGGTACTGTTGCAAGTAGACCTGCATTGGCTACAAGGCCTACCAATTTACCAACTGAACATAGAAGGTTCCATCGCAGCATTCAGACACCGATTTGTAAGTAAAAAACATATTTATAATTAATAATCCAGTTTCCTTAATCTTTCATCTATAAAATTAATAACCCTTTTTAACATCAAATTAACCCTTTTTAATTATGTAAAAAATGAAATATAAACAAGTAAAATTCCTGTATATTTGAGATTTGTTTATATGTTTATGCTCTCTCTCAAGGACCTAGTAAAAAGTAATTACAATTAAAATTAAAAATACAATTGAATATAATAAGAAATAAATTTCCTTAATTTGAGATTTTTTTACTTCATATTTTTTAAAAATCTGAAATTAATAGAGGATTTGTTTTTATATTTCATTTTAGATTACTTTATCTCTAATTAATAGAAGAACCCTTTATTTTTATTTTTAATGTTAATTGTAATTAATTTTCATATGGGCTTCTAAGGGCCCAATTATTTTTATTTAAAAAATTTACAAATATATTTTACCTTACTTATTTTTATTATTTTCATTTTACTTTACTTGCTTGTTAATTCGACAGAAACAAAACGGAATATGATAGTTTATTCTGTGTAGTAGATTGTTTTGGTGTATCTGTGATATTTGTGTCTTTGCACAGAAAAAAGATACTAATAAACAAAACTGGGATATATATTATATATATTTCAAGAAAATTATTTTCATAAATAAGTTGCTTAATTATGGCTCATGGATGATGAAACATCAGAAAAATTAAAGCTTTATAATTTACAAACCTTCCAAAACAGTTCAAAAATTATAAAATTAAAATAATCATAATGAAATAATTAAAAGGGGAAATGAAAAAAAAGAACATTACTTTATTTACAGCACAGTCATTTCCGACACCTATGGAGGAACCCAAAAAAATTCTTCACGCCGAGTATTTGGGCAATATTGAAGTTTCAAAAGCCAGCGGTATGGACGTATTAAATGATGCTATAGATCAGTTGATGAATACTGTCCCCAAATCACAGTGGCAACCGGTCGACATCGCCATTGCACCGAGTATGATCACTATTACTACCGTCACAGATCAGGTCAGTCGAATTAATCTGGTATTTTAATGTACAATTGGTGTTAACAAAAAAAAAAATATTTTTTAGGGGACTGAGAAAAACATTGCGGAGTGTAGGGTCAGGTACTTATCATTCCTGGGAATCGGCCACAATGTGAAACAGTGCGCGTTCATTATGCACACAGCCCAAGACTTATTTATAGCGCACGTATTCTATTGTGAACCGTCATCCGGCGCTTTGTGTAAAACAGTGGAAGCTGCTTGCAAGGTAAAAAATGTGTGCTTTTATAAAATATTTTATACTTGAATTGAACCGCTCTGTTTATTTCAGTTAAGATACCAAAAATGTTTAGATGCTCATCCCCAAAATATAATGCCAGTTGAAGCAAAATCACCAAGCAAAGGAATAGGTGCTACATTAAAATCATTTGTAGGCACTATTACAGGAAGAAGAACAAAGAAATCCTGAGATAAACACTTGTCTCTACAGGTATACAAATTTTCAGACACAAGAAGAAGAGAAAAAAAATTTCACAAACCATTTTTTTTTCATACTGTAATTATGAAATATGGGTTAAAAATAAAAGTTAGCTATCTGTGAATTAGAAAGTTCTAGATAATGGTAGCTAATTGTGCTATTACAACTTGATGTATAAAATTTGTAAGCCGTGCTATGTTATTATTTATTTTTTAAAATTACAATTTAAATCCATGCATTCATTATTTAAAAATATAATATTTCAATGGAACTTATTACCCAATACAATATTTCTGAAATTTAATCCATTCCATGCTGGTCATTTTCCAAAATGCAGCTTATGCATTATTTGGCCATTTGATATTAAGAAAAATATTTAAAAAATTATTAAACTTTTTTTCACCTAAAAAATGTCCATCTTGATATCATGACGTGTGAAATTGGGTAGACAGTTTATACAAACCCCGAATTTTCGTCTTTTCTATTTAAATTTTAACTCATGTAAATAACGGAATATATTGCTCACTGAAATAGATTTGGCATAATTGTATATTTTTCCAATGAACAATGGCATTGTAAAAATTAAAAAATAAATAAAATGCTGTTGATTGCTGATTTGTACAATCTCATATCTGCACACGCATGAACTTATCACTTCTCACAGTCATCAGCAATAATTTCAGTTTTTGTAATTTGCAAAAAATTATCAGCAGGCCATGAGAATCACACACCTCGGGTGTTGGCAGTCCTCGGTCTTATCTGTTCAGTCTGTTATAAAATTACAATTTAAATCCATGCATTCGTAATTTAAAAATATAATATTTCATTGGAACTTAATAGCCAATACAATATTTATGAAATTTAATAGTTTGGGCTCCAGTGGCTTTCAATGTAAATGTAATCAGTTCCTAAATCTATTCACACTCTTAAATACATTATTTTCTATTTATATACCATTCACTCAGGGTAGTGGATCAATAATACTCCATCACCCTTTACACCTATTTTATATAACTAACCTAATCGAGGGTTGATGGGTTACTCAATATTCCGTTATCAGCCCTCTCACACCACACATTCACACCAATAAATACATTCATTCTCAACACACACTAGGGGACACAAAACAACACATATATCCATACTATATACAATAAAATAACCAGGGGACCCAAATATTCCATGCTCAGGCACAATTTTAATGTTGAGTGGCCTACACACTTTCTATATGGAACCAAAGAATCATCGAGCTAACCTTTTATACATAACCTGGCTAATCTAATTGAGAATCTATGGTGTACTCAATGCTCCACCATAGACCTTCTCATGCTATACGTTCATGCTAATAAATACCCTCAATCTCAAACAAGATATTCACATACAGAAAATTGTGGTGTTCGTATCAGTGGTGATGGGAATATCAGTCAATGGTTGTTTTGGAAAGAAAACGACTTCGAATCTTTGCCGACATTTCATATTTACATATTATATTATTATATATTACATTATTATTTAGTAATAATTTAATTTAATTTTTTAATAATTTAATAATGTACTATATATGTACAGGATGCCTTGATAAAGATTGGAATTAAATTGAAACGTCAGCAAAGATTTGAAGTCGTTTTCTTTCCAAAACAACCATTGGCCGATATTCCCATCACCACCGATACGAACACCACAATTATATTCAACAATTCACTAATTTCGTGGTCCACTTGACCAATTAAACATTACAATTAATTAAGGTTTTTAGTTGAGATGAAAAAAAGTTAATGGCACTAGCAGGATTCGAACCAACGATCTTCGGCCATTTCATTTGTCGCCGAGAATCAATTGATTACACGACATTTGAAAAATGGCAAAAAGGAGGGAAAATTCAAAAGGTGTGGTTGAGATGGGAGGTTGGTGTCCGAGTGGATCGAGGTCACGATAGCTTAAGTGGTAGAGCAGTGGCGTATCTAGCCGAAGGTCGTGGTTTCGAATCCCGCTCGTGCCATTAACTTTTTTTCATCTCAACTAAAAACCTTAATTAATTATATTCAACGGTCATCACAAGTTACATTAAAACATCATACAGAAAATTCTCAAATTGGGATTTTGTTCAGATTCCCTCTGTCAAACTCGCACCCACACACAAAGATTTTCCTCAAGGTAAAGGCCTAGTTCTGTGTCGATTGGTGGTTTTGGTCTTAAACCGGAAAAGGAATTGATTTTTGTTCGGGATTTCCCTCCCACCTCAGCCTGAGAATGCCGCCACATGCGTTAAACAATTCCTCAAAGCTTTGACTGTTCAGGTCGCACCTTGAGGAAATCCCGCTCTTGTATGATTTCCTTTTCTGCACTCAAACACAATTCTCATGGGTGGCATACATGCTATCTATAAAGGAGCCAAGGAATGACACCTTTCAATTAGTGGAACACACAAAAGTCCACATACCAGTCTTGCCTTATTCTTAATCAAGATGGCCCCTTCTATGAATCAGATCCAAGGGCCACTTATCAAAAATGCTTTTGGTGAAAAAATAAAATGCAATTATAAATGAAGAGGAAAACTATTATTCATTTTAATTGTGAATGGAAATCATACTTGTAAATTTGTATTTTTTTTAATACTTTAACGATAAGTAAATAATTATAGCTATATTTTACAGGATTTGTGCGCGCCTGTAGAGCGGGAAGTAATAAAACACAGGCATCTCCAGAGTCCCCTTGTCATTTCAACAAGTCTACAATCTTTACTGTCTCCGACTATGTCATATCAACGGCAGCATTGGGATTTCTAATTTCCGTTGATAGTTCATCTTTTAGAATGCAAATGTGTTTATAACGAGAATATCTCCTGTGATGGGGAATGGTCTTTTGAAGGGAAAAAAAAGAAGATATATATAAAAAAAAAATAAGGGGGTTTTCATTTTTTATAATTGCGCATCCGGTTGTCTAGGAGCTGTTGCTTGTGGTTGATGTATTTCTTTATTGTAATCTCATTAAACTTACGTTAGAAAAATAATATGTGTATATACTGTAAAAAAGTCTTGTTAATGTGTAGTTTAAAAAAAAATATATAAATTTCTAGTATAATTTGTTGATCTAACATAAAAATTATTTGTACATTAAAGCAAAATAGATTTAAAGTCCATTATAAAACTTTATTTGTAGATAATTTTGTTGTGTAAGTGCTGGAATATAGCATAGGATGTGTTTTGATAAGTTAATAGCATTACATCTTGTGTACGACCTGCCACGGATTAGAATTTTATGTGGAGTGTTATTATAAGCATAGATCCATTTTCCGTCACTCGACTGACACAGATACATAAAAATAGCGATTATGCTTGTGTACGTGTGTTGGTCGTGGCTTGCATCGAAGCATAAGCTTACTTGCAATATTGTGTTTTAGTGCTAGTACATAACATTAAATCTTATGCGAGTGTTAGATGTCAGCTTGATGAAAAATTTTGTAAAGAATTAGAACCTTTTTTTTTTAATATGATTTTCACTTTTGAAAAGGTTTATTTTGAGAAAATGGAATCGTAATTAATAATTAGGCGACAAAGTTAGACGTTATAACGTAGTGAATGTAAATATGATTTTTATTTATAAACCTGGTATTGTAATTATTGAAATTAATTCGCAGTAATCGTGTACAATCATAAATGTATGTGGGCATCTTAATTGTACGTTTATATTGTTTTTGAGACTTGAGAATGATCAGTTTTCCCCTTTAAAACTTGATTCTCCAACGGTTAAAAAATGGATTGTAAAAGACACCAGCTTAATGTGGATTGTAAATTCGAATGTTTTGATCCGAAATAATGAACCATTTGAAGTGTGCAAGGAAAAAAGTGTCTGTGGTGTGTCACAAGTTCGGAAAATAGTTTGATTTGTTGAAAAAAAAAGTCCCTTTTAACATGAAAATATTTAATAAATGTGGCGTGTTCTAGGAGAACATACTCCAGTAACTCCAGTCGAAATATTTAAAAAATATCTAACCAATTGGGAAACTATAGAAGCCCACCTAGTGTTAAAAACACGGCTGAATATAGTTTAATCCTAAAATACACTAAATAATCACAATGTAGGAACCTTTGTACACTGACACTTCATTATTTTTTACATTAGTGATTATATTTATAAACAAAGCTGATAATTTTATGCATTATGGCTCTGAACAAAGGCAAATTTATATGAATTTATGATGCCCTATTTAAAACGAGCAAAGTTTGAACTCTTGAATTGCATGCTTCAGGCTGTTATTGAAAGAAAACAGCACCATTCTTCCTTTTTTTCGTATATAAAAATTTTTTTCTAAATTTATTTACAATCATTTATAAGCTTTAATAAACAAAATATTATACAGCACTATTCAAAAAATATATTAAAAACATAAACCAGAAAATGTTGTGAACACGAGGTCAAACTGTGCTTTCAATATTTTCTGATTTTTTTTTTTATCTGTGATTATTTTGTAAACAGTGTGTAATTTTGCAGGACCCTGCAAATCTTTTATCGGTCAAAGCTCAATCTATATTTATTTTGCATTGCGTGTGTTTGAAATTTATTTTAAAAAGTGAACTGATGTATAGATAAAGGTAATCAAAATTATATAACAAATAATATATAAATTACAGTTATTTTAACCTTTTTTTTATAGCAAAATCTCGTTAAATTATTTCCAGAATATTTTCTAGTACAATTCTAACATCGCAAAAATTTTAAGTACGTTGTGTTGAATTACAATGTACACATTTTTATTTTAGAACAGAACAGCACAAGAGGAAAAAAAATCATCTCTTATAAACCTATGTGATAATTACACTTTAGTTAAATGTTACCATTTTGCTTGAGAAATCTTAAGAATTATTTTATAACCAGCAGAGATACTGTAAATGCTGTCACGGTTTAGCGCCATCTCGATATTAATTTTCCAGCCTGAAAATTTATCGTCCGATATAATTTGGATGATTATTTCATTTTACTAACAAATAACCGGTCGAACTAAAACAGAATTGCATTTAAAACACCCCTTCAACATAGTCTTTGTCATTGATAAAACTAGTTTAGATTGTCTACTAGTTTTACAGACCTAAATTGAAAAAGATGTATTTATATATACATTTTTACATTTTTTTCTTTACAGAAATAAATACAAATTAATAAGTGTTAGAAATGTTGATATTTAGAAATCTGTAATCGCTTGCATATGTTTTTGTTCAACATAAAATCATGTTACTATTGGTACATACCGTAAACAGTTAAATAATAAACTTTATTTATTGTGCATATATTGTCGCTTAGATTAACTGTTTTCAATTTAAAACACAAATCTTAGATATAAACATAAATAATTTGCGTGAATGTTCAATCTGTTTCTGTAAACTGTAGTATAACTATTTCCTTTTTGTTTTGTTTCAGACTCATATTTATGATTTAATTCTCTTTCTTAATGAACAAGATATCGTGCCTTATTTTGTTTATTGATTACACTTCACAACTTTAAAACCCTGAAGCTAATTAAAACTTGATTTGATTGTACCAATGTATAATAAAATTAACTATACAAAGCTGGTGTTTGAATTTATTCTATTCCTAAAGTCTTTTCTATTTTTTTTTTTTCATGTTAAATTTATTAAATAAGAAAGTGGGGTGAGGCATCGGTGGCATGTAAGGTAAAAAGTCCCAGGTTCGAATCCACTGGCCCTAACCCGACATACAAACTTTTTTTTTTAAACACCAGCACCCTGAGGGTTGATGACCTCTGCTGCTGTGAAACCTTAAAAAAAGTTCACTTATTGCAAAATGCGTCTGTAATTTTTTTAAATTAATTAATTAATTTATTTTTTAAGGGCCAGCAACATTGTTATCACCAGCCCTCAGTGCTTAACCTGTCTTTCTTACCTTTTAATTTCTTTTAATGTTTTTTCATCAATTGTGGATTAAAAAAATATATATAATACTCGATATTCCTTGGAGTTATTGGGGGTGAAGCCCCTCCATTCACGCTAATAAATTACATTTGCACTGGCCCAGAGTACTTGATGATATTCCTCGGACTTATTGGGGTGGGGAAGAAACCACTTCATTCATACTAACAAATTACATCTATGCTGCCCTAGAGTACTCGATATTCCTCAAAGTCATAGGGGAGGAAGCCCCTCCCATTCATGCTAATAAATATATATAAAGTGGGAGGTTTAATGGGCCGACAAACAGCTGAAGTCATCACTGGTCCTTTGCGTGTTTTCCTTCTTTTTCAGCTTTTTCTTAATTTTAAACTCAGGTGTCTCGATCTGGTTACCGCTTTTAAATGTATACTACGTCGATAACCAAAAAGCCTCTCCTATCTCGGGTCATCAAATACAGAATAGAAACAAAACATAAAATACATACGTATACATAACCACAATCATAGATGTTTGGTCACATCCACTACCCCAGAGTGTTCAATATTCCTCAGGATGGGGTTAACCCCACTCCATTCTCTCTAATAAATTACTTTTCCTCTCCAGGTGTCACACACTCACTCCAGAGTACTCTATATGTTAAACAATCCCTTCCTTTCACACCAATAAGTTACATCCTCATTGCCCTAGGGTATTCGATATTTCTTGGAGTTCTTGGAGTCCAGTCATGCTAATAAATTACATCCACACTTCCCCAGAGTACTTGATATTCCTTGGAGTTATTGGGGGAGAACCATTCGTGCTAATAAATTACATTCACATTGCCCCAGCATTCTCCATATTTCTCAGAATCCACTCCATTCACACTGCCCTCGGTGTCATTAGGGAAGAAGCCCTTCCATTCACGCTAATAAATTACATCCACACTGCCCCAGACTACTTGATGATATACTTTGGTGTCATTGGAGGAGAAACCACCTCTTCACGCTAATCAATTACAACCACACTGTCCTAAGCTTGGTGCGATAGGGACTTAGTAACCGTCTTGAAGCTTTCGGAAAAGGCTGTACTTATTATAGCAACTAAAAGCATAAATAATTAAAGATGCTAATAAATCACATCCACACAGACAAAGAGTACTTGATAGTCCTTGGAGTTATTGGAGAAGCCCTTCCATTCACGCTAATAAATTACACTGATACTGCCCCAGAGTACTCGATCCTCAGAGTTATTGGCGAAGCATCCGCTACATTCATGCTAATAAATTACATCCACACTGCCCTAGAGTACTCGATATTCCTTGGAATTATTGGGGGAGAAGCCCTTTTATAAACACATTCACAAGCCAGGCTTCATTCTCTAGGCCTCAGAGTAGGCAATATTTATCAGGATCTTTCCTTCCCCACTAATAAATTGCATTCACTCAACATATTGATACTGAGAAAGGAACTTTTCCTGAAAAAGTACTTCATATAATGAACCAGTGTTTCTATTTGTTTATGTTGTTTTTTAGTTTCTCTAGTTTTTCTATTGTCTATAATTTTTTTTCTTTCAAAAATTGTGTGAAACAAGTGTAACCTACTTTTGAAAAAAATGAAGACATATTTCCTCTAATATGTTCATCAAAAAACTTTGACTTTTCAGTTTTGAATTTCATTGTTTAGTTCTTGTGTACATAAACAACCTAATTGTATCGATATCGGGTTAATAATGAAATTAATCGTATAACATACTCGTAATATATTTCTTTATTAATCAGTAATCAATTTGTACATTTTTAAATTATTATTTCTTTAGTTATCAATTATCATTCAATTTGTCTATTTAAACAATTATTATATATATGGCTCAGTATTATATACGGCTAATATGGCTAGTTTTAAAAGAAATAAAACCACAATAACACTTCCAGTGCTAAACTTGTTCAAATGACTAATCTAAGGAACTAAGCAACAAAATCAAACACAACATTGAATAACTTGAGATAAAAATACAGCAAATGATCTAATAAATATCAAATGATAAAACGAAACTCGTTAATAAATTGGGTGGTGGTTTTTTTAACGGTGAAATCAACCATACAAAACACAAAAATTATTACTTTCCTATTATTTGACAAGGAGTATGAAATACATTTGAAGGTTGAGAATATAGAGGAAAGAGTCAAAACAGATTGATATGTTAAAGAAAAGGCAAGAATCAAGCTGTTGACATGGAAACTAAAAAAAATTAACTGATATATCTGGTCTGTCAGCATTCAATCTTTCTTTCATGGTATATACAAAGGATCGGTGGTTTCTTAAGTCCACTTAAAAATATATGCGATTACATAAATATGACAATAAAATTAGCATTTGTGAGTGTAAATATTTGATATTTATGTTTTTCAACTATTCTTCCAGATGGATATAAAATAATAGATTTAAACTTGTAAATATCTTACAACCAATGTAAAACGTGTTAGCGGGGGAAATGATGGGAGGAAAATCCCAGTCCAACTCCTCTTTGTTTATGCGTTGCATTCCGTGCGGCCTCGTATTGCATCTCCATAGTGGAGAATAGTTCTTCTTGTTTTTTTATGGCAAATGTGTCTTTTCTCGTGTTGTCAGAACTAGTAGATGAACCCTCTCCTAAATAAAAAGAAAAAAAATCAGAGAGAATGACACATTTGTACAAATTTCAAAGTTAGCATTTTTAAGACAGCGGCAATATTCAGGACAACAAACAAACAGATAATTTTCAACGAGTTCAATTCAAACTACAGTGAAACTTCCCTTGGACACCTCTAAAAAGCAGACACCAATTCTTACCTGGCATCTTCCCATTAGTTTCTTCATATTAAACTCTTCCCAATAACTAGCCAACTTTTTTGACAAAGTTGATTCTGACTCTAAAACTCTCCCACAAGCAGACAGAAGCCTCCAGAAAATGAACGTTTTCTGAGAAACGCCGTTTCCCTTGTGTGTTTTGTTCACCTTCCAATATTTTACCAATATTTCTAGGTTTTTATTTGAGTTTAAGTTCTTCTTCAGTGTGTTTGACAAAACACAAAAAAAAAACTAAATAAAAGCGATGGTTTTATATACATATTTGATATAAAATTAATGTACATATTTGCTTATTTCAAATTTTTCGGTTCACAATATAGAAGTACACAACTATAGTCGCAGCTGGGAAGTTGACAATTTTTTTTTTTAAGTAGGTAAAAAAAAATATGATGTTAATATTTTATCTTATTTACAATGTCATACAATTGTATATTTTTTTTAAATTCACTAAAAATGTACACAGAAACAAAATACCAAAAGACAATTTTTTACGGTTTTTCGTGGTAGGTTGAAAAACGTTACCTTACATTTTTAGAGTAATAAAGACTCCTTCCTTTAAATTGCAAGCCAACTCAATATTTGCTTTCCTCTTTTTCAATTAGATGATCAAATCAATCTTTTCTGATGGGCATCCCTTTCTGAACTAGCCTGTAATGCTTCAGAAAGGGAAAATGACATATGCCCTTTGAAAATCTAGTAAAGTAGTGGAAGAGTACTCTCTCACTCTCCCTCTTTCTCTCTCTCTCTCTCTCACTCTCGGATGTGTGTGTGTATGTGTAAACCAAAGCTTGAACAATACTTAAATTGGCATCCCAAGAAAAAATACCCACTGTATTGTAATATTGCTTAAGACATTGGTACAATTTTTTTTTTTCTGAGTAAGAATAATACGAAACTGTTTCACAATGACTTAGACATTAGTTATATAGTGATGACGATATTCATTCAAAGTATAATTAGTAATGTTCCATCACTTCGAAACTGTATTTTACCATGAGCCAACTTTCAAAAATCAAAATATTTTGCCACCTGGTTTTCTCTTAATGTGGCCAGTCATCGCTCCAAATGGAACTGCACCGAGCCGCGGCGTGCCTGAAATTTGAGGGGGCATTCGCGACCGCTCAACCGTCAGTCTATCAGTCATCTAGTGAATTACTTCCTCAAAATGGATGATCTTTTGTGCTAGCTGCTGTTTGTTTATATATAAAAAGCAAAAACCAAAGAGGAAATGGTGTTATTAGTGGCTCATGAAAGATCTTTCCCTTGAACTCGCTGATTCGAGGAACTATTTAAGGATGGATGAAACATCTTATTTATATTTACTCCAGCTTGTTACCCCTTGATTAGAAAACAAAAGACTGTTATGAGAGAAAGCTTAACTCCACATGAAAAGTTGGCAGCCATGTGATGATCTCTTGCTACAGGGATTTCTGCTGAATGCTTAGGGGTTATTATCCCTGAGACATGTTTGAAAAAATACGCTGCCTGAAGGACTTCATGAAGTTATTTATTATGTATGTAAGGTACATAAAATAAAATAATTTTCATAACTTCTTCTTCTTGTAATGATGTTTCTATTTAACAAAGCAAAAAAAATCACAGAACTCACCTGTGTGAGTGAAATGCTTTTTTTTATTATTAACAGTAATAACCAATTTCTAAGGAACCAAAAGGCAAGTAAAAATAATATAAATCAAGAATGGAATTTTATTAAGTAACAAACAACACATAAAATAAATAATATAACTGTTGAACAAAAAAATCCATTTTAAGGAATCAACTACAGTAAAATTAGTAAGCAAACAAATAAAAATTAAACATAGTGAAAAAACATACGTACATGTATATAAAGGAGTCAACAAGAGTAATATTAGTAAAAACAAAAAGTATAAGCATTGAAAAATATATGTAAGTTATATATATATTATAAACAATATTAGTTATAGCGTTATTTGTACAGAAAAATTCACTCAGCTTATCAGATGTCGATTAAGCCCAATTGCACTTTTCTCCCCTTAACTCGAGGTGACTTAATAATGGACCAAGGGTAATTGAGAGAGATCCTGTGTACGATTCCTCAAATGTATATTGACAGAGCTTAAAATAAACTTTTTAAAAAAAGAAGATCCCAAATAATTATCCATAATTGGCACAGTCGTAGGTGTTCAAGACAATATTGAAACCAACTGTATCAACGATTAATTTGCCGTCTTGAACTTAATCAACCTACTTGTACTTCAGTCTAAGGAAGAAAGATCTAGAATTGGACATGGTACACTTTGTAATCATACTGTGAGTCAGTATTAATTTTATAACAAAATATTATAATATATTAATAAACAAAATATTATATTAATAATAACTTCAAATAAAATTATAATTTGAAGAAAATAAAAACTGTAATAATAAAAACTTAAAAAATGGCAAATTCGTCAGATTTGAAACTAGTACTATACCAACTTATAACGGCAATCCTAAAACTTTGGCCCTATTTATTATAAATGTGGAAGAAATAAACACAATTGAGCAGTGTACAATACATTTTTACTTTACCGCAACAATTAGTGTTCCTACACAAAAGAAACAAATTTTCAAAGCTAACGAGTCTATGATAAATATTTAGTTCACTACTTGGGAACAATTGAAAACACACGTGATAAATAACTTCTCAGATATTCAAGATCCGGCGAGTTTAATCATAGACGTTTTGAGGCATAATACGAACAAAAATGTATCAACTTCACTCACTGAAATTCGAGAAAAATTCAATCTGTTCCATTCGAAAATAAATATTAGAAGGCACAGAAGCCAACAAAAGTTGCCTAATTCAATTTCAAGAATTAGTAATATGCAACAATTTCATAAGTCCGCTGAAAGATCCTTTACAAAACAACTTAGCGACCAGGAACCCAAAAACTCCGTTTCAAATAGAAAGGCTGCTAGTTAATGACTTCCAATACATGAATTATGAACCACACGCACAGTCATCTCATTTAAAACCTTTAAAAACATTTCAGAATCCTCATCCCAGGAAATTTTTTAACACACACTCCGTCCGGCAACTTACATCGGTCTTACATCCCAATATCTGGACAAGAGAGAAAAGCAACATATCTATGATTGCAAAAAACCCAAGCAAAATCCTACAGCACTCGCTACCCACCATTTTGAACACCAACACAATTCGACTTCAAAAATCCAAAAATATTACTCAAAGAACAAAACAAACATAAATGTAATTTCTTAGAAATGGTTTATATCAACAAAGATAAACACAGATAAACAAGATAAACAATTGCACTAATATTCCACTGTCCACACCAGGTTTCCCCATTCATGAACGTACCATGCCATCGTCATGCTGTAGATGTATGGAGTGTCACGATGGAGGAGTTTGGACCGGTCGAATATTCAGCGCTGCCCATATCAGTTTTGCCACCAATGTAGGTTTTGGAACGGCGTCGCTCCGTTTGGACTGTTGGGAGCGATAGTGAATGGCCACCTTTAATGTACCTATGCCTCCAAAACCCCAGACATTCATAGTTTGCGGTCATTTTTCAAACATAAATAAATTGTCATAAAAAAATAAAAAATAAAAAAAAAACGCACCCGAAGCAAGTTATGACTTTTCTGTCAGAACGAGGACAACATCCCCTCTTGCCTGAGCTCAGTCTTTAAGAGGTCTGTACTAACTCCAGCATACAGTTCAGCATGTGCTATGTACCCATCAGCATCCAAGAGACACCATACTTTGAAACCGACTCGTATTGGTTTTCCCCACATGAACTGCTTGAGTGTGAATTTGTGATACTCAAATATAGTTGCACATAATATTATTTTGAAAACTGTTACTAAGAAAAAATTTATTTTAACTTGTTCATACTCCAAAAGGTTTCCCACTGCTGATGAACAAATTGTGTAAAAATCAAATTAAAAAATGATATGGTAAACTAGTGAGCAGAAATCAACATGAATGAGAGTCAGACAGAACAGCTGAGCTCGTGCAGGTGAAAACTGCTCTATCCTTACAAAATGACTTAAATTTATGTTATTAGAAACAGGATAGTATATAGAAAAAGGTCCTCCAAAAGGAAACCAACCAGTTCTCAGAATTTTTTATGGACAAATTCGAAAAAAAATGCACAACTACTTGTGGGCAATTAATGGGTAAATATAATTTAAGTAAGTGAAAGTGAAAACTAACAAGGGGACAGCCTAGTTGGTGTGTCATGGATGTGGACCTATCTTTTTTTGTTTATTCTATACTCCAAAATATCGGACCCACACTTCTTGCAAATAGGCCCTGCTTTCACCACAAAAATTTTTGAATTTTTTTTGCATTTTTTAATATTTTTATTTTGCCGTTCTACTTGCTCAAATCAAATATCATTTTACAGCATTGTTTATTTAGATTGCAATAAAAATATAGTAAAAGCTATCAAAGTTTATCAATAACCCAAAAAATTTCTAAAAACCAAACATTTTTCAAGTAAACTAGGTTGTATTTTTTTTTCTTCCCCTTTGTGAGAATAATATGAAATTTCATTTTAACACCTCTAGAGGGGCCCTAAATATAAATTTTTCTTTGAATGTAAATTTATAGATTTTTGTCCCCCTAAATTTTTCCAATTTTTCAGAAAATGTAATCAGAATATCCGAATGAAACGGCTATAATTCAAAAACAGCTAAAAAGGATTTTAACATCAAAGGGACCAAACCAAGGCCTATTCACAAGATGTGGTGTATACGTGTCCGACATTTTGGAGAGTAGAATCACCAAAAAAAAGTTTAGACCAAATTCAAGACACAGCAACCTGGACTCTTTTAAGTGTGCAAGACTTGGCTGCCAAGTTTTCCATTTAGACCCCAGGCAAGTGAAATTCTAAAGAATAAAAAAACATTTTTGGATCAACTTTACAAACACGGACCAATCCCGCAGTTTTTTCCTAAAATGTCTGATTCGCCCACAGACCACGATGTATTTGTTTTGTTTTGTTTGTTTTGTTTTGTTGAGCTCAGGCTTGTAAAATACCTCTGTCTAGTCTGTTAATATGAAATAAGGCCTTAGATGTTGTAAAACATTTAGGGCAAACAAATTTTAGTCATTGAAAATGTTTTTGATTAAAAAAAGAAAAATTAATTCGAAACTCTTTTAATCTTTTACATATATTTTTTCACTTGGAAATTTAATATATTTTTACTATTTATTTTCATTCTAGAGGGGTGGATTAATCTGATGGGGTCTGACCTCCACGACCGGGATGTGGTTCTGTTATAGATCGGTTTAAAATGTATAGAACTCTTATGTATTTTACCGCAGAATGTAAAAACTGTCCTTTAAGAGAGGTTATCACTATAGAGGGGTTTCACTGTAGTTCCGAATTTTTGTTTTATCAAAAAATAATATAAAAACCAAAATACCTGCAGATTTCATTCCCATTAATCTATGGAACTTTGCCGTTAGTTTGCCATCCTGGTCATGTAAAAATCGTGCGTCTTTCCACTGATTTTGATTATTTGTATCCTTATTATGTGATTTACACGGGGCGTTACCCTGAAATAAAGAAATTAAATGAGTTTGATTTTAAAGTCGCTCTTCTGGTGGTGTTTGGCTAAAACTTATTTAAAAATTAAATCCTATAAATATATAGGATTTAATTTTTACCCGTAATATATATTTTTATCATCTGAATGCAAAAAAAATATTATTTAATTGCTTATGCTAGACTTATAAATTATACTATTCATTATACTAATTAACATAACTTGTTTGACGGGCCTGAGGAGTATTCGATATTAGCTGACAGACCCATCCATCCATTCATATAGAACTACTCACGCTAATAAATATATTCACTCTGGTGAGATCAATGTCACCTCGGCAAAAATTATTACAAACTAAGTGCCGTCGACTACTACCTCACATCACATTAAAGTTACTCAATATTCAGTCATGATCGCGCATACTTCAATACTTACACAAATAAATACATTCAAAAAATAAAAGGGGAAGGAACCATGGTGGTGTATATTATGGAAACATTTATCTATATTAAATATGAAATAAGTATCTTTGGAAACACTACCTCAGAACTTTTTGACATATCGCACACCCATAAGAAAAGTGACGCAAGTCGAAAAATTCTGAAAATTAGATTATTTAGGTTTTTTTAAGCAGTCAGGTGTGTGATGCTACAGGATAAATGACATCAAGATCACCTAGACCACATTACCAACTAGTGCACTGGTGGGGCATCAAATGAAGAAAAGAGCTGGCATATGACGTTCATACTTAGAAGTACCTTTCCACTAGTGCACATATCCTTCCATCAAACCAAAACCGCCACCTCGGGTTCTACTTGAACAGCACTTACATGGTGCACACACATAATACAAAAAAGGCAAGAACTGAACCAAATTGTTAAATGTATACATTTTTGTATAGAAAACAATAAAATAAAAGTTAACAAAATCAATTTTACACCACAGATATTTTTTAAATAAAACAGGGCCTTGGAAAAACAATTTCTTCAATTAGTTGTACATGAGAAAAAATTACTAAGTACTTTGGACAAAAGTAGAAGCAAACTAATTTTTTCCGAAAGTTTGTCTCATAACATGTCCATTTCTAATATTAAAAACACTAACAGAGCCACAGAGGCCAAGTGGGTAAAGTGTCAGCCTTTGGCACATTCCTGCAGTCATGGGTTCAATTCCCACTGTCTTATAAATAAAAAAATAAATAAATAAAGTAATTAAAAAAATGATAATAATTTCAGCCCCTGACATGCAGTTTTTTAAACCTAGACACATTCACATTCATTCTTCCCTATTTACATAAATAACTCAAGTTAATAATTACTCAAGTGGTGGAGTACTCGACTACTTAACTAATCTAACTGAGGGTCAATGGGGTACTTAAAAAATCTGTAAGGAAAATCATACCTTTGTTTGGTTTCGACTCCAAAGTAATTTTCGCTTAGCTATTTGCTCTTGAAATCGTGATGCATCCTGGCCTAATCGTTCACGAAAACTGTTCCCTTGTAAATCTTCCTTTTCTGGTTCAGGCACTTTTAACTCGATACCCAGCTTTTCCAAAACTAAGAAAATAAACGGTGGAAATGTACACCAAAATAAATTAGAAATTACTCGCTTATAACAAGAAGAAATAGTTTGTGTTATTGGATGAATATTGCATTAAAATCGCATCATTTTGAAATTAAAATTTACAAAACAAGAGTAATGTGAGGATTTCCAGTGGTCTTATTTATCATCTTGGTCTCCCTATTCTGCTGAGTTGACCTTTCAGATGCATTTCGACACTTTGCCATCCGTCAATGTGTCTGTATGATTCAGCTGTCAATTTTTTTTTTTTTTTAATTCTTAGTGTTATAGTGTTAGATTTTTTTTTTAAATTTTAAATATGTTGTGTTTGTATATTTTCAAGTTTTCATCCTTTTTGTACTTTTTCCTAGTCACAAATGGGCCTAGGCAAGGATGTCCTCGTTCATCTTGAACCAGATGACAGTGAAGATTCTCGGGTATGCAGACGACTTAGCTATAGTCGCTGATCACCCCTCAGGCCTGCAGAGAAATATTAACACCCTAGAAAATCTTAGTTCTAAATGGGGGTAGGAAGTGAATTTGAGTAAATAAAAAAAAATTTAAATGCTGGTAAAAAAAGTCAGAAAAATGGAAATTTTCTGGAACACCAATGGAATTAGTAAATGAATATTTTTATTTAGGAGTTATTCTGATGCCTATACTCTCCTTTATCAAGCACTTAAAACAGAAATCCAGTGCTGTAAAGATTATAACAATATTTTCAAAAACGAGGAGCTTATCTCAAAGGATAAACTAATCCCCAACCGCAGGATCGGGCAGTGCGAGCTAAGCTACCAAAGGACGAGGAAGGACTCTCTCTCAATTTGTTTGAAGGCACCTGCTCTTTTTATGTAAATGGCAAGGAGTTAGTTGCGTATGTCATAGATACATATTTTATTTATTTTTTTTTTTTTAAATCTGAATACATTAATTTTTTTGAAGGTTTTTGTTATAATTTATTTGGATCAGGTCCCGATTTTTGTCTTACCCGATTAATTGTTTGAGTTTATGGCAGAAATTTTTTTTTTCATTTTTATTTCACACTCATAAAGAAACGAGTTGCTTCGTGTGGGTGGGATTCACGCAAAGATCGTAATAAGATGGCTGGAATGTTTGGAGGTCTGCAATCAGCAATCCGACAATCCCCTTCTCTACCAAATAAAAAGTTTTCGACGCTACAAGCAGGGCAATTTTGTGTAACGCAAATCAAGTATGGGCTACCATGATATATTTGTCAAGTGTGTGTTACACACCTTTTCAAACTGCCGTCATACTGGCAGAGACTTGGGATGGACCTTCATCATGACTATCTGATCAAAGTTGCTGGGATGAGTGAGAATTGCTTTGGAGTTGCACGTCATCTGAATGCGTTCGATTTTGACCTCTTTGTTCTTAAGAAGCTCACTAGGGAGGAGATGATTGACAACATTGAACGACCTGAAACAATAGAGCAGTACCATACCGTATCTTTTGTTCGCTCAGCTCAAAACTATCTGAGATTGTTGATCAACCGCTTTAATTACCGAGAGAAGATTCAAGTTTTAAAAAAATTTTGTTGGTGAATGTCAAATGAACAATGCTTCTCTTATTCTATGATATACGCAAACAAGAAGAAAAAAAAGAAAGACACTTGTATTTATTTGTTTACTTTCCATAATAACTAGGTTAAAGAAAGTCAGTTCAATTTCTCCTTTTCAGAGTCAACTTGTTGAGTAAGCTATTCATTTTTGTTTTTTTAAATTATTTTCTTTGATGAAATAACAAATTAGAATTTAAAAAATTAATTCATTTACGGACGTGCATGTAATGAACTGTTTTTCATACAGAATGGATCTTTGACTGCACTATAGATCATTGAAGTTCTTCTGAAAGCTGTGCTCCCATTTGCTCCATTTAAGCGGGGAACACACTTACCCGATGCCTTGTCACGTTCTGGTAGGGCGTGCACATCTATGCGGCGTCAAGCGCACGCCACGTACAATCACACAGCGTGTATCACAATAATCAATATAACAATCGCAACGCCTCTTTTGTTCTTAATTATTTTGAGCACAACCCTGTAATAAATTGTTTGTTAAATTTAATTGTTTTAAGTAAAGTTATTCCGGTGTTTTGATAAATTATCTTCTTAACCATCATAATTAAATAATTTTTATAAAAACTTATATGAATTTTTGATCTCGTTTAATTTGGTTTACGCAAAATATGAATGTTTAATTAATATAATGGCAAAATTATATATACGTAGTTTGAAATAAACTAGAAAAAATATGAGTGTCCTGTTCTGACACTACTTGATGAAAACGGTGAAATTTTATGAGCAAAACCATGAAATAAATTGTTAGTTAAATTTTATGAGCGCAAAACCGTGTAATAAATTGTTAGTTAAATTCATTATATCAAAAAATGGTATTCCGGTGTTTTAATCAATTTTCTACCAAACCATTAAAATTAATTTTTTAAAATAAAAACTAATGAATTTGTGATCTCGGTTAATTTGGTTTATATTAAAATAAGTATGTTGTAATTAATATAACGACAATAATACATGTAGTTTCAAATAAAAATATGAGTGTCTGGCTCTTTTGTCTTCGACTGTAATCAATGCTACCCGACGAAAATCTGGACAGTGGGGATCGCGTAGCATAGAGTAGGGTGGCGTTGCATGGCATCGGGCAGATGTGCACGGGGGTAATACAATCTTATGGAAAATTGGACTTTTGATTTGCATCGGGTAACATCGGGTAAGTGTGGTCCCCGCTTTATTGGAGGCAACTTCACGTTAATGCATAATAATGCTCAACTGCATGTAGCTCGTCGCCTGTTACTTGGAATGGATTACCCCAATGAAATGGCTAGCATATTTTAACATAAACCTATAGAATACTTACGGGACATAATAAAGAGGCAGGTTAGAGACCGTTTGCCGCCTCGAACAGCTTCAAACTGCCTTTGTTGAAGAATGAGGTTCTGTTTCACAAGACAAAATCCGATCAATTATTTACTCGATGCCTTGCAGACAAGGTCCATATGAGGCCAGAGAAAGTAATATGCTTTATTTGTCTTTGAGTATATATTTAAACAAAATTGTTTCTTATTTTTAATTGTTATTTTTACTTATATTATTTATTTTTTATTCATACATTTCCTAGTAGTTTCATGCTCGTCTGTATGTTAAAAATTTGTAAGGGTTTTCTTTTAGGCGAATCGTGTAGTTTGATTTTCCATCATTGTCTCTAAATTTTTATGTTATTTGTATCTGTCTTTATTTTTAGTCCTGTCTGTCTGGTGTATTCGCTTTCGCATTCACGTGTTCTGGCATACATGTCGTTTTTTCGAACAATTGAATATAGAAAACTTACTGCACATTTTGTTAGCTGCCACTCTATCATATATCCTTCGGGGTGGGCTTCTTTCTTTATCTTTCTCTCTGTCTCCGTCTCGATCACCATCTCTATATCTTTCAGCGTGGTCACTAAAATGTCAAAACGCGGTATTATTAACTCAAAAGTGACTGATACTAAATTTAAATAAGAAATAAAATACGACCTTCTTTTGCGATAATGGCGATGAGTATTGTGCCAAGGGCTATGGCTTCTACTGCGACTTCTGCTCCTTGAACTTCTACTCTCAGGGCTCCTGCTCCTTGGACTCCGACTTTTTGAGTTCCTACTCTTTGGGCTTCTACTTTTTGAATTCCTGCTCCTTGGACTTCTACTCTTTGTACTCCTGCTTCTCGGACTTCGGCTCTTTGGACTCCTGCTCCTTGGACTTCGGCTCTTGGAACTCCTGCTTCTTGGACTTTTACTCCTCCAACTTCTACTTCTTGATCTCCTATAAAAAGATCAAATCAATGAATTTTAAAGCGGGAAAACATTAATATTATAATTCTGAAAAAAATTGGGCTGCTAAAATTGAATTATCCAAACATGTCGTGCATAAGTGGCCAGGGGTGGGACTGACCTGTCAAGTATGCAATAATTTCACCCCTTAAAAGTGTTCAGATTCCAAAATTGTTAAACCTGATATCAGCAAGCAAAGGGCTTTGTCCCAGAAAATGAGTTATATCTTCACAGACATTATAATTACAAAGGCAACATCTTTCAAAGTGGAGTCTTTAAGGGTCATGGTTTATAGTTTTAAAAAACCTAATAAAGCTAAAAACAAAAGTAATTTTTGTTTTTAATTCATTTATACATATATTTCCTTCCCCCCCCCCAAGAGTTCGCAATAGCAGAGGTCATAATGCCCTCGAGGTGCTGGTGTTTTTGAAAAAAAGCCCTAAGTATGTTGTGTTCAAATGCAGGGCCACTGGATTCAAACTTTACCTTACAGTGATGAGGACTGTGTCAACACCTCAACCGTTGCGGCCTGCCTTTTAGGTTGTTAATTTTACAGTATTTTCATTGTTAATATTCCCTATGAGAGCTTTATACAAATCGAAGCTGTCATCAATACAAACTTGTCGTTGAAATTTTTAGAGCTATGATACTTTTGTCGGCGGTCCAGTCAAGTGGGATTCCCAAGAAGAAATTTCATTCTAACATATATTTAAGAATGACAGATGGCAAAGTAAACCATTTTTATGGGGAAGTATACCTATGAATTTCTTTTCAAAACATAATAGTATTTAACCCCCATACCTGAGCTCCATAAGTGACATCTGTCCTAGGTACACTTTAATTCAATGAGCTTTTTATAAATAAATCAATACTTATTTGTTTACAATTAATACATATATATAAAACACTCGAGTATTCAAAGTCGCATGAAGCAGGGTAGTACAAAATACAATTGTAACTTGAGAAACAAGACGTGCCCTATTAGCCAATAACAGGTCAAATACGTAAGGCAGGCAGAAATCCTAATTTCCACCAGAGTCAGCCAAGTAAGAGCAGAGGGACAAGAAATTTTGGTTCCTTGACGAAAGAAAAGCTTTACAGGACAGAAGGAAACATGAGCAGTCAAATGCCTTTTTGTGGCTTACCAAATTGCCAAATGATTGTCAATGCATTAGTAATAAGTCCTCTGTTCAATGGGAATGTAGCCAAGGACAGAGGCATGAGAAAAAGTTAATCAAAGCACCATCGCAGAAACTACCGGCAGAACTACTAAATCTAGGACATGCTAGGATGAAAATAGTTCAACTGATAACTGGGCACTGCAGTCTCCAGAGGAATATGTATAGACTCGGGGTGGCAGAAACAAGTCTGTGCAGATATTGCCAAGAATAAGAAACAGCGGAACACATCCTCTTTTTGGTGTGAAGGCCTATGTAGGCTGAATTCCTAATTCTGGGAAAGGAAAAGCTTGGGCCTGAAGGATACACACCCCTTGAAAAAGCTTTGGGGTCTGGTAAAAAGCCTCAAGCTTAACGAGGAGCTCTAGATAAAAATATGGACCAATACTGGTCGCGATGCACAGGACATAAAGAGGCTAGCTCCTATATAATTTATCTATCTATCCCATCTGGATTATTAAAACTTAATAAGCTTTTCCAACTTTTTAATAAACTTAAAAAGCTTTTTTTGGAGATAGAGTTAAGAACATATACACATAATAAATACATATTTATGCTTATACAATAAAGAGAGAAAGATTTTATGAAAGAGGTATTCTCGAAATCTACTTAGTCCAATTTTGATCAATTTTTTTTACTCAATAAATTGGGTAATTTTACTCAATAATTTTTTTTAGATATGTTCCTTATAATCATAGGAATGACATAGACAATGTTTTGTCATGTTATTATTGCAGGATCAATTTGTTTTTACTGTATACGTCCATTCTGGGGGGGGGGGTTGAATTACTCTGATGAGGACTGACAACAATGTCCATAACTGGTTGTTCCGTTTTTAAGATGTAACGAACTCCATCTTTTTTGTCGGGTAATGCAAAAATTGTCTGTTAAGAGGGGTTTCATTGCATAAAGATTCAATCTTTGTTATTTTACTAAATGCAGTTTCCTTTCCTCTATTTTCCATTTTCAGTTCCTCTCAACTATCGAGGACCCAGGAAGCCACGGGAAGAATATCCTGGAAAACAGTGAATAAACTCATCCCCAGAGGATTATGGCCGACTTGCCACGATTGTTTGACGTTGTGATTGTTTGTTGCCATATTAAAACAAACATGTTAAAAATGCCTAGTAATAAATGTTTACGAATGTATCACCCTGGTTTATTGTATTTTTGGAACCCTACCTTACCCTACACAAAACGTTTTTAAGCACATACACTGAATGCGTCAGTACCCGCTTACAATTTATAGTCTGACTCTTATCACAAACTTAAATAAGTGATTCATTGTCTTTAAATTAAATGTAATGCGGTTAAATGTAAACTTGCCTCGGCACAGAAGACCTTTGTTCTTTCTTTTGATAAGGCCATCTATCAGCCCTCGATGTGTACCTTAAAAAATAAATAAATAAATAAATAAATAAATTCCAGGATTTTCCCTTTTGTAGCTAAAAATAGTAAAATGTTCACCTGCTGTGTGGTCCAACTTTGGTATTTTTATTATGACTAGTTGGTGAAGTAATACATGACTTCTTTGGTTTGGTTCCCTTCAAAAAACACAATTTTTAAAAAAATAATAATTTTACTTTGATGTAACTAATATCACCCACACCCAAATCACTTACATTCTGACATACATACAATTTTAAGATCTGTATTACAATTGTTATTGATCTTAAAATTTAAGTAAACATAGAGATATTTTAGTAAAAGAAGAAAGACAGAGTAAAAAAGAAAAATCTAAACACTACTTAACACAAAATCTGTTACAGGTATAAAAAACTAATTTTGCTTAAATATAGTAACATAGCTGCGGTTAAATACCACGAACACCTAGGAATACTCAAACAGCTAATAAAATCATTTACAGGGTTAGATAAGATAAAATAAACAAAGTAATAGATATATTATAACTCCACAAAATATGGATACAAGGTACAGTAAGCTTAAGGAAAACAAAAATGTACATTAAAATAAAAATCATACCATTTGAAGACATATTAATTATGCAAAGACATGCCCTTCCAAGAATGATATAGATGATTTTGTTTTAACAAAATGTAAATGCACCTAAACATTTAAAAAATTACTTTAATTCTTAATATAGTTAATACAAATTTGACTTAGCACTAGGGTCTATAAACTATTGTGAAATTCAAAACCTAAACTTAAGTAAGGCACGGTGATTAAAAATTGTATGAAATACTGAAATTATTGTGAGATTTCCTCCTGTGGTCTGTGAGTCGGTGAAACTGTAATTGATTTTTAACAATCGTCTAGGTCTTTCTAAACCTGCTAGATTGGTCTGTCTGAAACGTTTTCTAACTCGGATTATTTTCTTCAATGTTACATGCCTCAGGATGAGAGTTTCTTCCCAATTTACACTTCCACTTCCTAGTATCTAACGTTAAGTAAGGAAAATTATACAAAACATAATTATAGTCACAATAATACAATTACAGGCATACTGAAGAAGGCTGAAACCCGTCTAACAGACCCAGTGGATATACAGGCCAAGATGATAGATAAGGATCAAATTAAAAAAATATTACAATTTATTTTTTGTAGTTTTTTTACAGGCATTTCTTTATAACTCAAAAGAAAGAAATTCATAAATTGTATGAGATCACCAAGAAATAATATTTTTATTTAAGGCATTCTCGCAATTGAGTATTAGCTATAACTCACAGGAAATCGGGAGAAATAAGGCATCCCTTGATTACATGTACTGAGATTTCTTTCTCATCACTTATTATTAATGCTACTAATCAGGTTTAATAATTAATTTTATAATAAAAAAATCAGGCATAAGGCTATGAAAGGAAAGAACATTCTTTCAAGCCATCAAAGAATACATCTCCTTCATCAGGTCATTGAAACTATTATAATTCGCAAGATTAACAAATTTCTACTCACAATACTAAACCTTATTATTTTGTATTTATAAGTTGATAGTGGAACTTAGAACTACTGCGTTGCAAAATAAGTCCGTAGCGTTTTTTATAATTCAATTTTATCTCCCTATTGTGTTTTGAAATAGTTTATTTTAGTGTTCACACACAATGGATTAGTTTGATATCTCGTATTTTTACAAGGTGTCTGGCTAATTTAAAATGGATGAAAGAATAGTGCAATTTTGTAATTTAATGATTTTTTTTATTACAGCAAGTGGAAAACCATGGCTCAGACTGCTAGGAAAATTTACAGTGCATATGATGACAGTTTAGGAGAAAGCACCGTCCGTAAGTGTTTTACTCGGTTCAGAAATGGATATTTTGATTTTGAAGGTGCACATTGCTCTGGTCATTCTTCAGTCAGGTTGCTGCTATGATGCACATTGATGATGACCAAATCAAACTTTTGTCACAAATAACCTGCACTCAATGACGGACACTTCACCTAACAACAAACATTTCGATGCATCTGAGAGTAGCTAGATATGTTCATAGTGATACACGGGTTCATCACGACAGAAGAATTTATAGGATCGAATCTCTCTCTGCAATTCCCTTTTAAAATGGCCCAATTTAAAAAATAAAATAAGATAACTAGGGAAGAAAAATTTACAACAATGTTCCCACAATTGGAACAATTTTTCGAGTCAGCTATTGACCAAAAATGACCAATTTACAATTAATTACAAAATGGTTTGTATATTGTTTACAAATACCTGAAATTTTAATTGAATTTACCATCAAAAAATGCTACAGACTTATTTTACGACCCAATAAACCCTATGTCAAGTATAGAGTTGTAAACTTGTAATAGTTCTTGTTAATAGACACTCTAATATATAATTATGGAGGTGACGCTTTAATAATAAGAAAACAAAAATCAATATAGTCGGTGAAAAATATGCTACTTATTGGCTAGAATAGTAAAATTTTGGTAAATTTCGAGCCCTAGTATAGCCTATACTCTACTATCACTCAAAATTTTAAGCTAACTTTGCATTTTTTCTTTTAACAAGATTCATTTCATTATAAGTTTGTTTGACATACCTAAAACAGTTCAATTTTTTTTTTAAATTATAAAACACCCTTGGATTTCGTTCTTCCCATTTGTCAAAATTTAAGATTTATTGGATACTTAAAATAAATAAAAAAAAAGTAAACATTAATCTGATATAAAAACCATGCCATCTCATAATCTGATAAATGAAGAATATAAACAAAGTCAATTTTTTAGTTTCATTAATTAATCAATTTTGTTCAATATTTATTTATTTTTTATAAACTGAACATAACTATTTTCACATTGATGGAAGTGTTATTTATATTCGTTATATTCGCATGCAACACAAATAGGTTTCAAATTTAATACGGTGAAAATTGTTTAAAATAAGCCAGTTGATAAAACTGAGGGAAAAAGAATGCAAGAATATTAAGCCGAAGAAATAGCCTATTAAGCTACAATGGATATACAACAGTAACAAGCATCTCATGCATCAAAGCATGTTCAAAATGAAATAATAAACAACATTAAAGTTCAATAAAAAAAAAATAATAATAATAAAAATATATATATAAATTTAGAGAAAAAATATAAAAAGCTTACATTTTCAATATATTCATCTCCACATCTTGACCTTGAGAAGCATGGACTCGCACATGAACTGGAAATCGTTGGACTTTTTTCCTGTAAAAAGAACCAAACTTGTCGCTTAAAACCATTCCTTAAGAAATTAATTAGTTCCAATTGACTAACTTCCTCACTCATGTCCATTCCTACATTTTCATAATTGTCTTCCATGGTATGGTCCTCTTCCTGAAATTTATAACAATAAAAAGTTAATTTTTTTTTTTTAATAACAACATATATTTGCATGTAATGGCGATGTTTTTCTTTAAAATCAGAAAAAAAAAATTCTGATGGACTGTAAACTTATACAAAATATTACGAGCGTATAATTTTATCAAACCCCACCCAAGGCCTAGCTGGTGCCGACCTCGTCGATGGCTTGATAAACAGCCCCTTGTCCAAGCCTCACAGAGTGCGGTCTCGCCATTCAAGGTCATGTAGACAGCCTCACCAGCGAGGACCTGGATTCACACCCTCCGAGGTTGAGCCAGGATATAAGACTGTACAGTACTGGAGACTGTGATTCAATGAGGAAGTCAGTGTCAGTAGTAACTGATGGTCTGAATTAATTAAAGCAGTTCTGTGTCCATAGTACTCTGTTCAGATGGGGTCATCATCAGAATTGATTCATTGAAATCTGCGACTTAGCATGACAATTTCCCCTCATGAAGACCGTACTCCAACATTGACAATAAAACTTTAAAACCCCTTTTTCATGTATAATAGGTCTTCTTACTCGAGAGAGATATCCCGGAACACAAGAAGAGAGCGCTGTGCCACAATATATTATGCCTATGCGTATAAATTAGTAATAAATAACAAACATTTCTTTATTTTATTAAAATTGAGTGGTTTTATTTTATTTATCAACTATTATACTCATTAAATCATAACTTTTCAAGAAGTCATTTTAAAAATGTAATATATAATAATCACATAATTGAAAATGCAATTTAGTAGTGTAATAATTTTTCCTAAGAGTTAAGGCTATTCCAATATGAAGTTCAGATGTGTCATAACAATCAATAGATTATGAATAAGAGAATAAGATAAACACTCGCCAATTTAAACAAACTTAATCTGATATCTGGCTGACTCATTTTGTTGTTTTGCACTTATTGTTGAATGATTGTTTAACACTATTTATATCTGCACCCTCGGAGCAAAACTAGAAAAGTAAAAAGACTTTTCAGGATTGCAATTTTAAATTTAAGGCCTTGAGTACAAATAGAATCATTAAAAGATTTTGAGCTGTCATAAAAAGCATGCTGCATTTAAAAAGAAGTGGTTTCGACTTAATCAAAAGACATTGGGATATGCACTTATCTCATTTGGCCAAAATTCGACTTATATAGTTTTTCCTTGAGGGTGCAGATATCAGTAGTATCTCAAGCAGTTGAAGGGGTTCGATTTGAAGAGAAGCGAGTGCCTGAACTAGATCATTTACCTGTGTGCCACTAAAGGCAGGCACGCATGATCTCCTAAGTACCCTCTGTGTGCATTCGGATGAGAGGACCAAGGATGCATTAAGAGAGTTGTTGGCTTGCAAGCTGGCTGCAGATGGTGGATGCTGCATCAGAGGCACAAGAAGGTTAAGGTACCTGATCCTGTCTGCACAGACGGGGGAGGGTGCATAACCATTGAACTATGGGGCAGTGAAGTATCGGTCTAAGTCCAAGCCCAGCAACATGGGAATGGACTCAATAGTGGCTTAGTGGTGAGGCTCCTGGCGAGTACTTAGAGAAGAGCCTGTTGTTCGGTGATGCCTGCATGGCCGTCCTTTACCAAAGGCAGGTTCTTCTAGAGGGTGGTTAAAAATTCCACTTTAAACGAAACCGCAGCCGAAGCGGATCCGGAAGTTTCGACGCTAGCAGAGCCCCAATATTCAGGGAGAGTTGTCGTCTCTATCTAGGGAGCACGTGAGAGACTGGCTGATGCATTTCGGCCCTTTTGGGTATCCCAAAAGAACCTCAATGTTATAAGACATTGCGACTTCCAATGGGAAACATATGCCACTATAGGCAAAACCTGCCATTACTTGTTGATTCAGATTATCCAAAGAGGCAGAAGAGAGCTAAGCACACCTAATAACAGATCTTAGTGATTCTTTTCTGCAGATGTGCTCTAGGACATAAAATGCAATGACTACAACTGGGCTTAATAATCAAGTTCCTTGATGAAATGTGATTGGTTCCATGTTAGTCTGTTTTGGTTGCTAGCAGAAAAGTCACCACCAGTGTCTGAGAAATTTGTAAGTTGAGTCTTTCATAAATGATAGGTGGGAATTGGATCCTTTGTTATTCATGTAACATCGAGACGAAGACCCAACAGTTTTCTGCATTGGCAAGCATTTATGTAAGCCTTACTTTGAAATTTGTAGTAGTATCAATAGGCAGTAGTGTCTCGAGCATGAACTGGATGGTTCACCTGTTTGCCATTATGGTCAAATTATCCAAACTGTTCACTTGATGATTCAGATCATGCGTATAGGCAGAAGAGACCCCCAACTCACTTGAAAACTGACCATTATAGCGATATAACTACAACAACTACTCCAATGGAGGGCTTTGGGATGTACAACTATATAACAAATTTAACCACTACAGCTGAACCTAATAATCAAATTCCATGATGAATTTGAGCACATCGGTGTGCTACAGTACAGAACGGGAGATATAATAGCTCTCAAAGGGAACTGAAAGACAAATTACCACGAATCTTTACATCTAAGTCTTCAATCTTCTCCTTTTTTGTATTAATTTGTTTGGTAACCATCATTGTTAAAACCGTGGGTTAAACACTGAAACACTGAATGAGGCCTGGACATGGAACAATGGACATGTCGAGATGATAATGATGTTTATTGGGTTATGTGAAGTTGAGACAGCCTAGAAGCAAAAACCTTAATAAAATAAACCCAGAAAAATGGGCATCTCTCTCTATCTCTCCTTCTCTATATCTTACTCACTCATCGGTTCACTCACTCATATAATTACTTTCACACTCTCTCACTCACTTATTCTCACTCTCTCCCACTCACTTATTCTTGCCCTCTCACTCTATCTCTCTCTTGCTCCCATTCACTCACTCACTCATTAGTTCACTCACACACTATCTATCTCAATCAAGCACTCATTCACTTACTCTCATGTCTGGATATGGAACAATGGACATGTCGAGATGATAATGATGTTTATTGGGTTTTTTAGAGTTGAGACAGCCGAGAAACAGAAACCTTAATAAAATAAACTCAGAAAAACGCACATCTCTCTTTCTCTCTATCCCTATCTCACCTGCTCTATCGCAAACCAACTCATTAGTTCACTCACTCACTTATTTTCACCCTGTCTCACTCGCTTATTCTCATTCTCTCACTCTCTCTCTCCCATTCACTCACTCACTCATTAGGTCCCTCACACATTCTATCTGCCTTTATCTATCTCACTCAAGCACTTACTCTCACGTCTGGACATGGAATAATGGACATGTCATGATCTTTATTGGGTTTTTAGAGTTGAGTCAGCCGAGAAATAGAAACCTTAATAAAATAAACTCACAAATACGCACATCTCTCTCTCTCTCTCTCGCTGACTTGTTAGTTCACTCACTCACATAATTACTTGGTCTCTCTCTCACTCACTTATTTCTCGCTACATCTCACTTACTTATTCTCATTCTCTCTGAATTTGACAGCTAGTGGAGATGGATGTCTTAAATCTAAATGACACTCGTTAATACCGTCGTTTTAAATTACTGTTAACACTAAAAAAAAAAAGGTGAAAAGGGAAAATAATTCGATTATTTATATTTATCTAACCTTCGAAGGACGGGCGGTCGGTTCTTCCTCCTCGTCGCTGTAATAGTTGGCCAGAGAATCCATGATTTTATTATCCTAATATCACAATTATTTACATTGTAAATCTACCGGCCAGTATCAGTTCAATATTATCACAATCATTTTTGGGTGGGAGGGACTTACAAAGGGACTTGGTAACTTCGATCGTTTGTAAATACTAAGTCGTGCGGGAAGAGACACTGACTGTACAACCCCACTATGACCAACGGGACACAATCAACATTTATTTACCATTAGGAATAAACATTTCTCTTTAAATGAAATTGTTTTTCTGAAAAGAAAAAAAACTATATTTTTTTTTAATTGCTAAAAACTTCTAATACAATTTCAAACATTTTCGTTACAGTTTACAACATTTGTCCAACAAAAACCAAAAGGAGAAGTTAAAATGTCCTCATTATATCACAATAAGTTAAATAAAGAAGACATAGAACATTTAATCTATAAAAAGAATAGATAAATATATCATTTATTTTCAATAGGAAGCAGGTGATTATCATTTACTACTCTAAAGCAATTCCAGTCGTCTCTGGAGTAGCCCAAGGTGGTCATCTCTCACCTCTCCTTTTCAACTTGTACATAAATCACATCGAATCCTCCATTAACCATTGTAATTCCATAGTTTTTGCAGACTTTCTGATTACAAACCTTAGTGTCAGTGCAGATATTAGGAAAGGCTACTGAAAAGGTGTATGGCTCACTTGTGTTAGAGGAAGTCATCTCTGAATTGAATAGTGTCATAGTTACAGAACAAATTTCGTTATGGCACATCAACCCTCAATAGTCTACTTAATTGTTCTGGAGGTTTTACTTTCGTTCTTTTTTCCCCAGTTGCCCAACAAGTTGATGTAATTTCCAATGAATAATCCAAACCATTCAACTCGATCGTGCCATTCTTCTTTCTAAACTCTCCCTCTCTCTGTCTATCTCACTCAATCACTTACTCTCTCTCTCTCTCTCTCTCACTCTCTCTCTCTCACACACACACACACACACAATCAGGTTTTAAACAGAGTCGTGCAAAAGTAAACAGTAAATAAGAGGAATTCAAAAACCAGATATAATACTGCTCTGCAAAGCAAAACGGTACTCTTGGAAAAAATTCTTTGGAGTGGATAAACTTGCAACAAGAGCACATAAATTTCTACCCGAAGGATGTCCAAATAATCAAAGTATTACATTAAAAGCAGATTTGTAGTTGATGATGTAAAACACACTAGAAGAGCTAATAGCTGTTCATTTTCTAGGCGCAAATTAGTTAGAATAAGCATATAAACCCAATGACATTGAGCAAAAACTGCCTTACAATCCAATAAATTTTAAAAAAATGGGCCTTATTAAATTTAAATTCTATAATCTACAAGAAGGAATAGAATAATTCATATTAGAGTATTTAAACCCCATTTTAATTAATACAATATGAATTAGCACATATCCCAAGGATTGGGAGAAAAAACAAAAGCTGTATTCACTCCAAATGCAAGTAGTCTGCTCATAATCATCATAAGTTTTGCAAATTGGTTCATTGTCAATTGAAATATTGTGTGTAACATACAATTTGTATTATCTGATTTTTTAACACATTAGCCATTCCTCATTTATTTGAGGTTAATTTTTTTTTAAATTTCTTTATGAAGTATACATATTAGCCAAGGAGAAGTTATATTATGCGTATGCATATTTTTTAGGGGGGAAGGGTATCATGAAAAAAAGGGCTAAGGGCAATGGTGAGAATCGAACCCATGACCAGGGGGGGTCTATGAACCGACAGTCTATCCTCCCAGGGTAATTTGTTTAAATATATTGTCTTCAAATATAATTTTATTGAGATAAAAATGTATTATAATTTATTCGAAATACATTTAGAACAGTCAGGCACCTTGAAAAACTAGGTTTCTAGCTAAAAAATAAATGCTTTGTTCAGAATTTTTTTTCTTTTCAACCTTATTTTCAGTATATTGTAGTCTTTATCAATTACAAAAATACATTACACGAGTAAATATTTTTACAATTAAATATTAAATGCATAATATTAACAATTACATAATAAATATTAAAAATAATGACTTATTACAAAAAAATATGGCTTTTGCTACAGGTAAATTTGTAATAATTATTTTTAAAATAATAATTTAAGTACATGATAAATATGTTACATATATATTTTTTTATAGAAAATAATTTTAAAAAAAGTAAAGAATCGTTATATTTAGACAAGATAATTTTGAGGAAAATAGATCTCACTCTAAGTAAATGTAAAGTAGAGTAGAAGCGCATAATTGGTCTATAAATTGTTTATTAAATGAGTACAAAACGATTATTCTAACCTTTTTTCTAAAATGTATGAATAGACATAAGTGGATTTCGTTTTTTATAAGAAATATTAGTTTTCACGAACATCCAATCATTAAAAAAATTATTATTATTGAGGAGGCTGTTGTTGCATTTGTGCTTGCATTTTAGCCAACATATCTTGCATTCGTTTGAGTTCTGCTTCCTTTTCCTGGAGAATCCTGTCTTTATCACTTTGAGTTTGGACTTTTTCCGTCTCGGAAAGTGACCTAAATACAATAAACCAACTATTAGCGTTTATGTTCGGAATATTTCGGCCTATACCAACTTACGTTGTTCGCTTTGAAACTGGAGCTCCTTTAGCCAATCTTTCAGATCTATAATTTTCATAATGCACTTCCTGAGTCACTTCTTGTAAATCTTGCATATGAGTTCTAAAACAATCAAGCGTATTAGTTTTTTAATTATAATTAAAAGTGTGTACTTATTACTTAATTTGACAATTAAACATTTATTTATTTAGAAATCGTGAGATGCGGTCTCATGATTTCTAAATAAATATTGATTAACGGTCACTAATCACCACACATTTAAATAATTATTTTAATAACCGATAAATTAGTTAAAATAATTAATTAAACACCTAAACTCTTTTTAAAGTTGATGGTAGGTGTTAGTCGAAGAGTCTGAGAAGCATGGGTCCGTCTACACTCATGGGTTTTCAATGCTACTCAAATGTATTTTAGTTTTATGCCATCCTCACTAAGGAACTGTAAGTTTTGTTGATTACAATTATTTGACATTATTTGGAATGAATACCTCGGTGCCTCGCCATTTTTTAATTTAACATACAGTTTGCGTGATGTTTAAGTGTATAAGGATATACGGTCTATGAGAGTATTTTGTAAAGAATGTCGGCAAGAAAATGGCCCTTTTTAGAATCTGCGAAAGATCAGTGAAAAATGTGCAGAATTGAGTTTCAACAAGGTTTAAGCTACCGCCGAATATAGAAACTAGTAAAATGTTCTCATTCGACCATAGGTGGCCCTTGGAAGATCTGATTCGTACAATAGGGGTCATCTTCACCCGATTAAGAATAGGCCATGTGAGGTTGACACTTTTGGGACAAAGCGTTTATGTCCGGCTTGTACAGGAAAGCTCGATCCTCAATTAAAATAGTGAGATACAGAGAATCCCCCCCCCCTACTTAATTGAAGGGTGTCACTCCTTGGCTCCATATAGAGTGTATAGGAATGCCACCCAATATGAGAGTTGTGCTTAGCACGCCAGGTGTATTTGGGTCTCCAGATTCAATTTTTGTGGGGATCAGGACTGTTTTATTGTATATAGTACTTGATAGAAATCTATGTAGTACTTGGTAGAAATCTGGTTTTGTTTCTGTTTGTTTACATTGAGAGTGAATGTATTTATTAGCAAGAATGTGAAGTGTGAGTACACCATCAATCCTAAATTAGAAGTTAGATGTAGAGATTTGTCCTTCTTAACTATCATTCCTTGGTCCCATATATATAGATCATGTAGGAATGCCATTCAATATGAGAATTGTGCTGGAGCATTAAGTCTTAGGATCCTCTGTTCCAAACTTTGGAAGAGGGCTGTTTTATTGGTAAATATCTGGTCTTATGTTTTCTTTTGTGTAAACTGAGAATCAATCTATCCTGAATCTATCAAGTCCAATATCCTTAGTGAATGTATTTATCAGCGAGAATGTGAAGTGTGAGAGGACCTATGGAGGACTATATCAATTAGTCCATGAGAGAATGTATTTATTAGCGAGATGTGTAGTGGGAATTCTGAGTACACCATCAATCCTCAATCAGAATAGTTAGGTGTAGAGTGTATTTGTTCAACTTAATTAAAGAACCTTTCCTTAGGTCAAACGAGCAGGAATGTTGCCCGATATGAGAGTTGTGCTTAGCACGACCAAATATTTGGGTCCCCTAATTCGATTTTTGCAGGAAACAGGTTTTTTTTCTTAATATCGATAGCTTTCTTGTTTTGCATTCCATTTTGTGTATATTGAAACTGCATGTATTTATTAGTGTGAATGTGTAGTGTAAGAGGTTTGATGGCAGAATATTGAGCACCCCAGTGACCCTCAATTAGATTTGTTATATGTGTGGAGGGTGACTGAGGAATATCAAGTTCTCCACCACTCTGAGTGAATGGTATAATAGTACTAATAGATATCTTGTTTTCTGTTCCCTTATGTGTATATTGAGGGTGAATATATTTATTAGTGTGAATGTAAACCCCATTGTCCCTCAATGAGATTATTTATATGTGTAGAGGGTGTTGAGGAATATTACCTACTCCACCCATATAACCAACATATATTTAGGGTGAATGTATTTATTAGTGTGAATGCATACCCCATCGTCTCTCAACTATATTAGTTGTATGTGTGTGGAGGTTATCATAGGAATATCATTTTGTCTTACATTGTGGATTATTGAGGGTGAATGTATTTATTAGCAGGAATATGTACCCTATCATCCCTCAACTAGAGTTATATGTGTGGAGGTTGCCAGAGGAATATTGTATACACCACCAACCTGGATGAATATATACACCCTATCATAAACCTTCAAATATGTTAGGTTAGGTTTAGAATAGTTTTTGTGTTTTGATGCATTTATTGAACTCTTCACTACATGTGAGAGATTTCTATTGAGGAAGACACAGAATGAAGTTGGTTGATCACCCATAAGCTGTTGACTATAAATGTGAAAAAAAACACAGCAAAAAGAAAAATGCAGAGCAGTAAAGACCAATAACTGCAACATTTGTATTCACTTACATTAACATAGTTCTAAGTTTAATAAAATCACAGTGCTCCGGATTTTCAACTTCGACAACACCCCATGGGTAAAGCCTCCCTCTAACTTTTCTTCCGCGTGCTTCGAGCAAAGTATTCGAACCGCACACCGCAAATGGAACTGCTTCTTTTAACTGCTTCACCTGCAATCGAATAGCATACAAGATGATTTACTGACTACACTCGTTCAATTCTGAAGCAATAAAATTAATATAAAAACCAACATGCTCTTTATAATCCTCATCTTCATCACTATCACAATCTGGCAAAGGGTAAATCTTAATTTCATTTTGTTCTATTTCCTCCATAATCTAAAAAAAAAATGAACTGAATGACTTATCTGAATGAAATTGAATTTAAAAAATAATACAAAAATAACCTTGTAAATAATTAACATTGTTATTTATGAAACAAAAAATCAATGTAAACACACATCAATAAAAGTATACTTTCCAATGTTCGAACATACCCGCTTTTTTAATCTCAAAATTTCTTTTTTTGTGAGGACATCAGCCTTAGCAATCACAGGTACTATATTTACTTTATTGTGTAACTGCTTCATAAATTCAATATCCAATGGTTTCATTCTGCAATCAGAAAATGTACAAAGTGAATATACATTTGTCATGCATGCACAAATAAAAAAGTCCTGATTTACACATGTTCAGGATCATTCAGAATCATCAGGAATGATAAGGAAAATATTAGGAAAGGAGGTTTAGCTGCAATAGAATTTTTTTAAATTACCCATGGCCGAATGGCGAGATGAAATAGAAACAGCAATGGACCCTGTTGTCTAATATGTTCCTTCTGTTAAGACCGCTTTCATCCCTCAAAAACCGTTCAAACTGATCATCGATATACTGTATTATGGCTTTGAAGCTAAAAAAGAACATCATATAGAAAGTAGTAGTTTATGAAAAATAAATCCGCTATTATGAATTATTGATTATCACCTGTTGTTATTATTAATTGCATCGCCGAACCCGGGGGTGTCGACTACAGTCAGACGAAGTTTTACTCCTCTTTCTTCTATATCCACTGTCGATGTGGCTAATTCAACAGTCTTTGTGCCCTTGTCTAAAAATTGTTAAGTTAAAAAAACAAACATTGTTTTATAATTATTACATCAGCTATTTGGAAATATGAAATACAGTATACAAAAAATAAGTAGAATAATACAATCTGCAAAATGTCCACAAATGTAATAAACAATTAATTAATGTGAAACATTGCCATTTTTCAATTTAATGGGTTACAATTTTTTATTTTATTTTTATGTAATTTAAGAAATGAATGCGAATGAGGTGCGTTGATGCTGAAACATAGCGGCAGAAATTAAATTTTCAACATACTTAAAAAACTACAATGGCCTAATAAATAAAACTATACTAAAATAATTCACATAGAATAAATAAGGAGAATAAAACTGAAAATATTTAATTATTTTAATTGAGGTCATTAGTTTCAAAACCATCTCAATCCACATTTTTTGCTGATTACACAAAGATAGGCAGATCAGAATGGTAGGTAAATATCAATAATTTTTTTTTAAAAGTTTTCACAAGTTCTCAATGCATTACAATAACTAGCTAAGCTGTTTTGACAAAAATCCAGTATAAAAATGTCAAAATCTTGGGTTAAGATCAACACCTGCTCAGCCCAATTTTCACCATCTAGGCATTTTTACAACTCTTTCTTTTCTCCTACCTAAGAAATCAGAATATTGTTTTGTTTTGATTGAAACTAGGTTTATGAAAGTAGTAGGGAGAATTGGACCAATAAATTGAGAGTAATTTCAATTCATTCCACCAAAAATGATTGATTAGCTACAGAGATGTTTCAAAACTGGCTCAATCCAATATTTAAATTTAAATTTTTGGCAACCTGGAAATAATACAATGTTGAAAACTATGCCACAAATGTTTCAAGACCTACCTTCTCCCCGATAAAAATTAATTGAAAAATCTAAACCATAATGCATGGCTCTAAAACGTTTTATTGTGTTTTATACAGTACATAGTAGATATCTGGTTTTATGTTTCTTTTTGTGTGCATTGAGAGTGAATGTATTTCTTTGTAAGAATATAAAGTTTGAGATCTCCGATGGCAATTTGTGATCAGCCTACACACTAGGAATTTATGTAAAAAAGGTGATCAGGGATGAGGCCAAGACAAAATATCACTCAGTTCCATTGAGCTTTCGAGGAACATATTCCCTTCATCAGAATCCTTTTCCTCACATATTAAGTCTCATTCCTGATCACCTTTTCTACATAAATTCTTAAGATGGTGGAATATTTAGTACACCATGTATCCACAATTAGATTAGCTATATGTATGAGTAAAGGCTTAAAAGAAAGAAAGGTTCCTCGATGTTCCCCACATAATTGAGGGATGTCATTCCTTGGCTCCTTATAGAGTGTGTGTAGGTCACTCGATGTGGGAACTGTACTTGAGTACAGCAACAAATATTTGGGATCCCCTATTCCATTTTTTGCAGGAAACAGGGCTGTTTTGTTGTATATAATGCTTGATAGATATCTCATTGTTGTTTTTATGGTGTTTTCAGACTGTATTTATTAGCGTGAATGTGTACTGTGAGGGCCGATGGAGAAATAAATTAGCTAGATTTCAATTAAATTAACTAGATTAGGAGTAAAGGGTTAAAACAACAGTGTTCGATGTCTCGAACTTTTCCTTGGGCCCTTATAGAGAGTGAGTAGGCCAGCCTTGGATCCTCTGTTATAATTTTTGGAGGAGGTCCGTTTTATTGTATATAGTACTTAGTAGAAAATCTAAAATGTTTTTTGTGCCTCCTGTAAAAATTTTGAATTTGATTGAGCCGGTTTTCAAACTAACTTATGATTTAAAAATAAAGCACAATATCAATGTAAAAATTATGGTAAGTTACATAGTTAATTGTTTATATATTATTTTATTATACTTTTGAGCAGGTTATAAAAGAATCAATGTGTTATAAAATATATTTAACAATTTTCCATTGACAAAGGAAACCAGTGGCCTCAATTATTTAATTATATTATTGTCAAAAGTAATCTTTGATACAATGAAATACGATGTTACAATTAGCATGCAATGTTTTACGATAAATATTAATTTACCAATAGCATCGGGGATTTTTCTGTCTGGATAAAGATCGGTTAAAAAAAGGCTATTTACAAGAGTTGATTTTCCTAAACCTGATTCTCCCACAACCATTAGTGTGAATTCAAAACCTTTTTTGACGGATTTCCTATGTACCTGATTTGGTAAATTGGCAAACCCAACATAACCAGGTGTTTCTAAACTTGCAAACTGAAAAGAAAAAAAAAACAATGTTTGTTAATAATTTTATTTAAGTTTTTGTATTAGAGGTATGTTATTATAAGTTATCGGGGTATTGCTGGTCATAGGGTAATGCCGTTTTTGTTTTAATGAGGGTTCGCAATGGCAAAGGTCATATCAATGCTCGGGGTGTCTATGTTTTTGGAAAAAAAAAACAACATTTGTAAGTATGTCAGGTTTGAATGCAGGGCTGCTGGATTCAAACCCAGGACTTCACAGTGATGGGCCCTTGGATGCTGAAAGTTACATACTGTGGTGTTATCTAAATATTCATCCTCATTCTGAAGCAGTGGTCAGTTACATAGGATTACAGGATAAGGTAATAAGGAATGGGTAGGGTTTATATTTACAAAGGATACCTGGATGCCAGATCCTACTGGCCTGGCCGACATCCAAAAATGCACTTAGAGCAGACGAGTCAACGATTCTGAAACCTGGCTGGAGAGTAGAATGATGAGGAAGGCAGCCAAATTGGTAAGAAGGAATGATCTTACATGAATCTAGGATGGGTATTAAACATTTTGAAAAGAGTTTTTTGAATATGTCGTGACAGGAAGAAGGCTGATAGGACTGTAAGTTTGGAGGTTTATGAGATTTAGGAATGAGATATATAATACTTCCATTAAGGTGCTTTCAGACATGAGGGCTTCGCCGAATGCCGAGAAAAGGTTCACCGAATCCTGACTAGTAGGGATTGGTGCTCGGTTATTCACCAAGGAACAATATTCAGTGCTTGCCAAATTGTCAGCTTTTTTATCCGCTTCAAGGTGCACGAATATTCATGAACTAGCCGAACTCCCAGCAGTAGAAATCTCAGTCTACATAAGCGTTCGCACCGATAGAGGGCATGTTCCGCTGTCTCTTCTACTTTCCGATAATATCTGCATAGGTTTCTGCCGCTCCAAGTCTATCCAGTCATAAGTCCAACTATTGTTTTAAACATGCCCTAGATTAAAGTAGTTCTGTCGTTAGTTTCTGAGATGGCCCTTTGATGATTGTGTATTCAAAGTTATTTTAAAAACAAATAACCTTTAATTTAAAGCATTTTTTTTAATGTAAATAATTGATTAAGATTTACAAAAATAATGTTTTATATTCACCAAAATGTGGACCTCTTATTTTGGGCAAAGCAGTAGTGTTCACAGGCTTTGTTCTACTGAATGTAAGTTTTATTGTTTATGGTAGTTATACAGAAAAAATACTTATTAGCTATGTTGTAATATTAAAAAAGTCTCTCCACCTCTAAGGATTGGAGGAAAAAATATCTATCCATCATTATTTGCTATTCTTGTTTAGTGAATACACGTGAAAACTTTTTATTTATTTTTATGTAGAACATAAACCACGTTGAGCTACCTTACAATTATATATACACTCAAATGGAAAAAAAAAATCATATTTTGTTGTTTATTTCAAAATATATATATTTTTATTATTATAATTACAACATACTTATTTAATTATTATTGAGCTATTGTGACATAGCTCAAATAGTAGAAGTGCCGGCACGTCGTGGGTTCGAGTTCTGCTCATGGCACTAATTTTTCAAGTCAACCGTACTTTGTACAATTATTAATAAACAAAACCAAATTAATTTAAAAATTCATGAGTTTTAATAAAAAATATTTAATTATCAAGGTTTAAAAGATAATTCACCAAAACACCGGAAAATCATTTAGTGACAAATTAAAATTTATTCACTATTAACAATTTATTACCTAGTTTTGTTCTTAAAAACTCAATTGCCTCCTCTGGCCTCTTGGCGGGCATTAAGTCTCCTAGGCATCGAGTAAACAAGCGATGGATTTTGTCTTATGAAACAGGACCACGCTCTTCAATAAGGGTGGTTTGAAGCTGTTCAACGCTTGTCAGAGGCGGTGAATGGCATCTAATCCATCTCTTTATCTTCCACAAGTGTTCTATATGACTCATATGTGGCATTTTAGTAATCACTACATCATTAAAGTAACAGGTGCAACTTGAGCAACATGCGGTCGGGTGTTATCATGCATTAACACGAAGCTGCCTTCAATAAATGGAGCGAACTGGGCCACATCATAAGATCTTCTTCAATGTACCTTCATGCAGGCAAAGATTCTATAAGATAATCAGTTCAGTACAGGCCTGGATGTCAATTCCCCCCCCCATACCATGAATGACTTCTTTTGAAAAGGCTGCGACTCCGCAGGCACATGAAGCAAAGCATTATTCTCTACACACCCTGGTCATCTGATCGCCACAAACCAAACCGGCACTTATGAAGAGAACAGCTCATTGTTCAAGTGTCAAATCGCCTTTCTACTCAATGCCTCTACAGTAATAGAAAATGCCTAGAGACTAGGATATTCCCACAAAGCTTTTTGATGACTGTTTTAGAGCTCATCCTTACACTACCATTTGGAGTTTACTACCGTTAATTTATGGTTCAATAAAACTATCGCCTCTAGCTGTCGTACATCACAATTGACCACTACCTTCTCTTCGATCGAGTCTGTAGCTCTTAACTATGCTAAATATAGACCACTGTGGATGGTAGAGCGTGGCAAACCCAGGACGTAGTCTTTGTAATGCTATATCCATCATTGGTCAAAGCATCTACCCTGGCGAAATCTTTCAACTTAAAATCATCAAACACGTTATTAATGTCGTGTTTATATTTTATGCCAACTATTATACCTAACTTAACTTAATTTTATAACTAAAGGTTAACTTTATATACCTAATCATTATAGAAAATAAATATGTCTTATTTTTTTTTGTCTTTGAGTGTATTTTTAAGGTGACAATAATTGTCGCCGGAAGGGTGTATAGTAACAGATAAAAAACAAATTTAAGGCTCACCGTTTTCACAGATTCGCTCGACATTACTCCAGACAATGTATAATTCGGATGACGTTTAATTGAAGCTAAAAAAACAAAAGTCGTACGATTGGATTTACAACAGATAAAAACGCAATGTAAAATAATATAAAAGTAGAAAAACGAACAACTACAACACAGAAGACAAAGAACACACAACAGTTGAAACAGTTTCGGCCGTTAACCTTCTAAACAGGGATGTGTCATTCATGACCTAATCCAATTTTATCCCCGCCACTATTTTTTAAAATCTTATTAAAAAACAAATTAGTCCACAAAAATATTACATATTACAATTAATAATAGATAAGATTTTATAATTTTTCAGTTTGGTTTGGTTAGAGGTAGACCATCATTCTGCAATCTGGGGTGTCTCAAAATGACCCTAGGTCATACTTTAAAATTGTTTGACACATGATCAGATATGAAAATTATACCTGAGCAAAATATAAGAAAGAACAGCAAAGGACGAAAACAAAAAGTTCGATAGAAAGCATTCTGTAATCTGGGAGAAATCCCGAAATGACCCTAGGTCATAT